CGAACACCACCCTTATAGAACCTAAGTCCAACTTGTTGCCATGGAAACGTAAAAAATAAAAATTTATAAAATTCCTAAATAGCAAAAGGCACCAGTTCAGTATGTGCCTAGTAGACATGCAAAGTTTTGTAAGAAAGGATTTAATGGTTTTTGAGTTACGCTCCGGAAACGAACACCACCCTTATAGAACCTAAGTCCAACTTGTTGCCATGGAAACGTAAAAAATATAAATTCATCAAATTCCTAAATAGCAAAAGGCACCAATTCAGCATGAGTCTGATAGACATGCAAAGTTTCGTAGAGAAATATTTAAACGGTTTCTGAGTTATGCTCCGGAAACGATATCGGGACGCACACACGCACACACACACGCACACACACACACACGCACACACACACACACACACACACACACACACGGATGGAACCCATTTCTATATCCCCCGCCAACTTCGTTGGGGCGGGGGATAATAAACCATATACACATATATACTATTAAAAAAAAGTTAAGGACCACCTGATTTTTTCATATTATTATAGTCAATCAAACAGACTAACTACAGTAATATGAAAGAATAAGATGATCCTTAACTTCTTTTGAGTAGTATATATAAAGTTTTCTAAAAATGGTATCTGCCGGAAAAACAGATTATGAGATGGGTTCTTTTCATGAGTAACTTTGCACAACAAATTATATATCATTCAGCTACTTTTGAGTATTTGGGTGAAAGGTTATTGATTTATTGCTAAATTTGCAAGTTGCATTGATGACAACTATTGTGTTGAATGTTGGTGAGGGCATACATGCTAAATAGAGGAGTGGTATTGTTTTTATGAAATGTGACAAGACAACAAACAAATACAGCTAAAAACATAAACTAAAACATTCTTAATCAATTGAATCAAGCCATGATATTATTGTGTATCACATATTCTCCAATGAGACTAACTCTGTGGGTGGGTATATTATTGATAGAAAAGTGTGAGTCTTCATGCACAACTGGCACAATCAGGAGATGGACCTACTGAAATTTGAGGTAGTCTAACTATAAATTAGACACCTGTTATTTATACATTTGAAACCTCATGCTAAAAGGCTTGGTTCCAAAGTAAAATATGAGGTCTTAATCTTGACGTATATCTCAAGCTAAGGCTGGGACGGGTAACTCGGGTACTCGGGTACTCGGGTACTCGGGTCGGGTTGGTTCTGAGTAGGACCCGGATACCCACAGGACTACTCGGACCCGTGGTTAGTCACGTGATATATTGTTTAATGACAAAACTTATCTAAAACTCTATGGTCACAGTATAAGTCACTAATGTTCCCATTTCTTTCTGACAATGCACCCATTCCTTCTGACTTTTATATGTTGGAATAAAGATAAAACTTCATGTACTATAAAAACTTCAGTGTATGCATGACCTTGATCGTTTTACACATGGTTTTACACGTGTACGTAATACATTTTGCCAGCGCTAAGGTCAAACTTTTCCAAATCGGACAGTCTGTACCTATATCTAAATATCTACAGCAGGTCGTCCCAGCCCTAAGCTCAAGTACTTAAGTAAAAGAGATTTCTAATAACTGTTCTGTAATTGATATCATATATCAATATGTCCAGTTGATCCTATAAACCATGTATATCCACAGTTCATGAAACGAAACGCGTTTGACATGGTGCAGTGAAATACAGTGAGTGAGTGAGTGAGTGAGTGAGTTGGGTTTAACACCACTTTTAACATTATTCCCGTTATATCACGGCATGTCAGTTTAATATGGGAGGGAAGCCCGAAGTGATGCAGGTCTCAGACTTTTACTTCGGTGAAACCCATGAGCCAGGGTATGGTGCTGACAAACCTAGAAACATAATTGGGGCGAACCAGGATTCGAACCCACAATCATAGGTTATGGCGTGCCCAAGGGACGCAATGCTGCACAGTGTATCACGGCGCCTTAGACGATTGGGCCACGTGTGCCCCCCACTGAAATACAGCAGAACATGGATATAACGAACTACAAGGGACCGGAGCAATAAGTTTGTTTTAAACTTTGTTCATTATAAACCTTTTCGCTCGGAAAAGTCTGCCATCTTGGATAAAACAAAACACAATACACATTATTGCAGCATTGACTTATATCAGCAGTGACCACTTCATAGCATTCAATTAATAACATTATAAAACATTGTTTAATGTTTGTTTTACAGACAGGATTAGTCAAATTACAGGTATATTAAACAACAATTAAGAACAAAGCATGGTTTATTTCACGACAAAACATTGTTCTATCACAACGTCATTTCTGCGGATTTGAACATGTGCTCTCAAGTTCATGACGTTGTATACTGGATGACAGTATTTTTGAGAGGAGAGTGTCGATTGAATTGTAGCTGGGCAACGCAGATAAACGCAGTGACCGAATGATCGGATTCAAAAGCAGGAGATATATGACAATCGGTATTGGGAAAAAAGGTACAGGTAATCGACCTGAGAATTGAGAATATGCGGGAACGATCAAACTTAACCCACCTGTGCATAAAATGGACCTGTCCCACATTTCCGAGGTCGGATTCTATTCAGGGAGTCATCAGTATTAATAAACAGGTAAATATTATTAAAGCTTGTCCATTTCATAATCATCCTTAAAGATCCATAATGTTGATGTCTTGTACAAGAAATAAACGACGAGTGGGAGACCATAGACCCAATTCAGAAGTATTGTATTCACAGTAATAAGCGTCCACTGGCTCAGAGAATTTACAAAGGAGGGCCCTAAAATTCAACTTGAAATTGAGCAGTAGAGAACAGAGTTCGTTGAATATTGAAACAAGAAAATATGGACTGTCATGTAAATGTCCAGGTTGAGCAAATATATATTATTTACATATTGGTCTAGAAGTGGGTCATTTGGAGCGAGGCGATTAATACACCAAATATGGTATGCATAGAGACCTAACAGCCATTTTAGTAACACAATGAATGATAAATACACAAGGTTATATAGGTTGAGCAGAAATAATTCTTCAACATGAAGATATTTTTGCATCAGTTTGAACTACCTCTCTCAAAGCTGTACAATGATAAGACATCTTCCTGAGGCAAGGGAGTTAACAGACAATAAAAGTCCAGTTTCCACCCTTGCCGAACAAGGTTGGAATTTCGTGGCTCAATCGTAGTGCCACCAGTGGCTATTAATAGTTATGTCCCTTCTATGTCCTTCCTATTGACCAATCACATTCCACTTCTCATATCACTTGCATTTGCTTGAAACAAACTGGTGGCGACAATTTGATCAAGTTAATCGAAGAAAAGTTTCCCATTCCCTGCTTCAAGGACATCCAGTTCTTGTGTATTGTAGCTAAACACTTGAGCACTTTGATTAAAAACATGAATAGATTTGGAACATATCTGTCAATGCCCAGTTGAGGGTACACAAGTTTTGCAAATCCTGCAATCAACAGACATCTGCACGGCAGCTTCCACGTTGTTAAGGAACAGGTTGTTGATTTTGTTACGCGATCCTGATTGGACTATGCATAGACTAATTATAGTCCAGCCAAATATAACGCCGAAGATTCAGTCTAGGTCACAAGGGTGGAAACTAGACTTTTATAGTCAGTTAACTCCCTTGCTTCAGGAAGATGAGATGAAATGAATAGTAATTAGTGTTTGTCCATTTTAACTTGACTTGAACTTCATGTTTTCACAGCTGGTCATAGTGAGTGACCAAAACCGTCATAATATACTCAAGACCGGTTCACTGGTTCAGACACAGTCAGAAAGTCACAGTTTTCTATACACTATATTCCTCCATCAACCGTACATGTATATAAACAGATGTCTGTCTTGGGTAAGTTAATGAAAATAGGCCTTTAATAACTCAGGGAAGATCAGAGGAACACAACTCCATACCTCAATTTTGTGAGACTCCTACTATCATAAAGCAGTGTGAAGAGTAGACAGCCACAAGCAATGGCACAGGCTGTCAAGAGAGAAACATCAAACACTGGTTATCATTGTTCATAATTCAAACAATTCTACTCTATTACAAAAGGAGTAATCCACCCACCTCCCAATTTTCTGCTTCTAGATGAGAGATTTTAGGAAGAAGCGAGGTTTTCCTGCCTCCCGCATGTGCATGGGGTGTTGTTTGCTACAAACTGTTACCTGCACAACTGATTATAGATAGTTGACAGTGAAGAGAACTTCTGTTGAAAATCTGAAGATTTTATAGTGAATGAGTGAGTGAGTTGGGTTTAACGCCGCTTTTAACAGTATTACAGTTATACCACGGCTTGCCAGCTTAATGTGGGAGGAAAGCCCGAAGTGATGCAGGTCTCAGAAGTTTACCACTTCGGTGAAACCCACGAGCACGGGTATGGTGCTGACAAACCTAGAAACATAATCGTGGTGAACCGGGATTCGAACCCACAATCATAGGTTTCTGGCATGCCCACGGGACGCAACTCTGCACAGCGAATCGCAGCACCATAGACGACTGGGCCACCAGTGCCCCAGATTTTATAGTGTAATGACAGGATAATACAGTATTCATGGCTACGATGTGAGAGGGTTGTATTTGAAGGAATTTATACCATTACAGCTATTTAAGCTGAATTCTTATTGGTCTCTCTCTGCAAACAGCTCTTTATTAGAATCACGTATTAAACTGTAGACTACACTGCACAGCAGCCATACATATTCACAGGTAGTGATGGAAGAATGTTGCATATTACAAACCGTGAAGTATTGACAATGTTGGTCAGAATTCCTGGCAATACTTCAGAAAGCAGCTGATTCCCTGAAGACACATCCAGCTCTGTATGAGTGAGTGAGTGAGTGAGTTGGGTTTAACGCCGCTTTTAACATTATTCCAGTTATATCACGGCGTGTCAGCTTAATGTGGGAGGAAAGCCCGAAGTGATGCAGGTCTTAGACGTTTACCACTTCGGTGAAACCCACGAGCACGGGTATGGTGCTGACAAACCTAGAAACATAATCGGGGTGAACCGGGATTCGAACCCACAACCATTGGTTTCTGGCGTGTCCAGGGGACGTAACTCTGCACAGCGAATCGCGGTGCCTTAGACGACTGGGCCACCCGTGCCTCCCCAGCTCTGTATGATACAGATTGAACATGTTTGGTGTTGTATTGGGATGTATCAGATGAAACTCAAGTCCATTATCAGATTATGTTTATCAAGATATTTGACCAAAGCTAGAAATGTCCATATAAACAGGAATCCGTTTTTTCAAAAAAAATATTTGTTACAGAAAGTACTGGAAATGGTTATTTTTCCTCATGTTTGAAGAAAAATAATCCAAAATACAATCCTATACAAGCCGCATTAGCATTGAACCAAACAGAACACAGCTATTCAGAGGTCGAACAGACAGCGTTTGGCATTGAACCATACAGAACACAGCTATTTAGAGTTTGAACAGATTGTCAGAAACAATAACTTGGACCAATATTGCACACATACATAAATAAATGCAACACTGAGGTAATTTCATGAAAAAACTTCATGAAAGTGTCTGCCATTAAGTAGTTAACAACAATACTTTATACGTCACATGCCTACAGCTCTGTACAGGGCATAATCTTGCCAGAAGTTTGTATACCTTCAAAATAATAACTCCCGCAACAATATGGATTAATAATTGTTAATAGAAACAGAGTACAAGAGCAAGCTACAGTTGCTACTGCTGGTCACATACGTCAAAGTTGGATATCATTTCCTTACAAAGTCATAAAAAAGAGAGAGTATAAATTGAGTGAAAGTTTAGAAAATCAGGGGTGCAGCAATACATACCTTAACCTGCTACATAAACAATTAAAATTGTCCAAATGGAAAAAAGAAAATAGTCTGTTAGTTAGTAATAGTCTTGTGACGGAATATCTAATCTTACACACGATTGCGCATAATTTGACAGTTACATGCCGTAGGACAGGTTCAACTTCAGACTTCCAACACGAGAATGGTCACTTCATGGAAAGCATGTAAATCAGATGGTTGCTTGCGTTCCCACGGGCTTAGTTTGGATTAACACCTTTCCTAACTAAGGAAACTGTTTACGGAGTAATGTCCCTTTGAACATGTACATTACGGAGTAATGTCCCTTTGGACATGTACATTACGGAGTAACGTCCCTTTGAACATGTACAGGCAGGCTCCTTCCCAGTGCGTGACACCTTCGTTACTCTCTCGGTAACATCGCTGCCACCCGTGTAGGTGGGCCATTACAAGAATCTTCAAATTTGCCCTCTAACCCGAAATATAGTAACGTTTATACTTTTGTTTACATCTTTGGGAATGCCGTCGTAGTGAATTTTGAAAAAGGTTTTCCCAGATGAATTTACCGTTTTATTTGTTTGATCAGATTGGTTTGAGATTGCAGATGAATGGAAAATAAACCAACTTTCCCCTCACATTCTTACTATCATCTTACTAAACCAGTTACATGATAGTTATAATGAAACAAAAATTTAAACAGATAAACAAAGAAAATAATGTAGCTGGGGTAAGAGTATTCGGCATCACGATAGTCATCAGTTGTTTGTAAACATAACTGTCAGGGAGTTGCAAGTTACTCCAAGCATGGTTGTAGCCACTATCACAGTGGGGAGCTTTGACTGATGGCAGCGATAGTAAAGAGAGCTCCGCGAACGGGATATCACTGCAAGGAGCTTGGTGTACATGTTCCAGCAGTAAGTGTCTGAACTGACACAGTGTTATAGAATATAGGTTAGTTTAGTAGGGGATGCAGTGTCAGGCGGTGTGACCATGACAAGCCACTAGATACAACTGAAGAAGGACATGTGTTACCATGGTTACTGGATGCATGACATCCTGACATTCTGAACTTCTTGTGGTTAATGCTATTACTGTTACCCTATATACTGTGTTGAATTAAGGGGGTCAATGAGGTCTACCCCTATAGTACTTTAATATTGGGACCCCCGAAATCTCTATTAGTCTTAATAGGCCATGACACTGGCCACTATAATTGTTTCCTTAATTTCGGAAAAGTACAAAAAGATGTATATTTTGTCATGACAGATTAACTATAGTAATATGAAAGAATCGGATGATCCCTAACCATTTTTGAGTAGGATATGAAATGCATATGGCATACAAGTGTTATATCACCTGCAAGGGTCTTTTACAGTATCAGATAAAAAGACAGCTGTTTTCCTGTCATTTATCTACAAGTTGGAAGGTATTTCTTGTGTCTGTTTTAGTCATGTTTGCATGATGTCAGCTTGTTGATGTGTCTTGATCGAAGTCGAGGTCATCAACGACTGCATCTGCGTAGTTCCTGGAGTTGGGGCGACTCAGTCTTTGTCTCAACTGTTCCATCTCACAGATAGCCTCCCTCCTCTTGGCCTTCTCTTCCTCTATCCAGGTCTGGGGGGGACAAGGGAAGAGCAGTTTGAATGTGTGGGTGATGATGTTGAGGTGCTACTATGTGTTGTTTGTATGTGGGGTGGGGGGGTTAGAGACAAGAGAAGAGCAGTTTGAATGTGTGGGTGATGATGTAGAGGTGCTAGTTGGGGGGGGAGGGACAAGGGAAGAGCACTTTGAATGTGTGGGTGATGATGTAGAGGTGCAATTTGGGGTGGGTGGGGGGACAAGGGAAGAGCAGTTTCATGATGTAGAGGTACTAGTTGGTGGGGGAGGGACAAGGGAAGAGCAGTTTGAACGTGTGGGTGATGATGTAGAGGTGCAATTTGAGGTGGGGGAGGGACAAGGGAAGAGCAGTTTGAATGTGTGGGTGATGATGTAGATCGAGATGCTAGTGTGTTGGGGGAGACAAGAGAAGAGCACTTGAATGTGTGGGTGATGATGTAGAGGTGCTATTTGGGGTGGGGGGGGACAAGGGAAGAGCAGTTTGAATGTGTGGGTGATGATGTAGAGGTGCTAGTTCAAGGGAAGAACAGTTTGAATGTGTGGGTGATGATGTAGAGGTGCTAGTTCAAGGGAAGAACAGTTTGAATGTGTGGGTGATGATGTAACGGTGCTAGTTGTGAAAGTGGTGGTGTTGTAGTGGTGCTAGTAAGTGGTGTGGTTTTAATGGCGGCAATGTGGTTGGGTGGTTTTGTGGTAGTGTTGTTGTCAGGAGATGTGTGTAGCGTGGCTCGGCGTGGCATGGTGTGGCATGGCGTGGCGTGGCGTGGCATGGTGTGTTGTTAGTATGGTGTGGCATGGCGTGGCGTTTTGTGAGTATGGCGTGGCGTGGCGTGGCGTGGCGTGGCGTGTTGTTAGTATGGTGTGGCATTTTGTTAGTATGGTGTGGCGTGGCGTGGCGTGGCGTGGGGTGGGGTGGTGTGGAAATCCCGGTCAGGTGATCAGCAAGCCCCACTCACCTGCACCTCGTCCGTGTACATCCTCAGACTGAAGTCCTCCTTGCTTCGGAACCTCTCGCCACCGTACACATACGGCATCTACAACAAAGTCGCCACATGTCATACCCAAGTCTGGCATCTAGCCCAGCATCCCCATCACAACTACTTCCGGAACAAACATTCCCCATTCATGACGTCATAGTCTGAACTAATTTCATGTCTTGTGGAGGAAGATTTCACTGATAACAAAATCAGACAATGACATATGCAGAGAATAAGATTACATGTGTATTTGTCTCATAAAATACGCCAGAAATAGCGATCAGCTGTTTACACATTTTCTCCCCGATCTACTAGTGGCTAATATCATAACTGAAAAGAAAATTGATAGGAAGACGGAAGACTTTGTATCTCTGACGACAAATGTTCGTTTCAAGGTGAGTTCACGGTGAGTTGCCCATCAGATCAAATTTGCCGAAATTAATGTAAACAAAATTGAATGAAATCTTGGAGAAAAGTAACATAATGGATTACAAACATAAGTCCAGATACACAATGAACACTTTTATAGCCAGATTGTGTAATAATAGGACTAACTTGTGTACTTCAGTACAGATTTGTTGACATGCTTCTTCCGGTGCTGCATGCTAAAGATAACGTTTTCGCATTGTGAAATAGAATCAAAGCTCATTGTATGTGTGTATTATGCACTTACTGGTGGTCGAACTGTAGTCTAATATTGTATTTCAGTATTTTTCTCATCAAGGAATACATGTATGTAGGGAGGCCACACACAACTGCATATTTGGTTACATACTCGTTTAAACAACCAAAATATTTTTTTTTTAAAAATGGCTTCCCGTCTGCACTACATTTTCAAAAGCTATTTCCTGAGAACCAAGTCTTTTATTTTTTAAGCCCTAGGAAAGTAAGAACAGTGTAAGGGCACACAGTTTGGAAAAATCCTAGATAGATCCTAGATAGATGTATAACACATGAGGAGCTACGGATCACCATATTCCACGTCACTGCCAGTTTCACAGTTAAAAAAAGGAGAGTAAGGTTTCAACAATATTTCACAAGAAATGGGCTTCATACGTACCCATGTGTAAACTCAAACCAAGGCCTTCCACATGATGAGCAAACGCTTTAACCACGAGGCCAACCACCACGCTGTACAAAACACATGCCTAAATCTACCTTTATAATAATGATATTCACTTCCAATCAAATGGCATCACTTTCAGGCAATGAAGTGGAACTTGGTAATGCCTGGTTACCATGGTGATCTATGATTGACTGAGACACACCTGTGATCCATCTTGGTCCGCCGTGGTGGCAATATGTGCGCCAGTCAGCCATGCATGCGGCCTCTCACACATGTCCCTCTCCTCCTCCGACATGGACATCTCCACCTTATACAGGCCGTGATCTGAAACAGTGGAAGTACACAGACTAGTCTATGTACAAGCTAATCTTGTAAGACGTCTTCCAACATCTTCCTAAGGCAAGGGAGTTCACTTACTCAAAAAGTCCAATTTCCACCCTTATCAAACTTTCTGGGAATTCAGGGCCTGATCGTAGCGCCACCAGTGGCTATTACGAGTTATGTCCCTTATATGTTCCTCCTGTTAACCAATCAGATTCCATCTCTCAGATCACTTGCATTTGTTTCAAACATAATCGGGGCGCCCAGTCAAGACGATCTGATCAATAATCAAAATATGTATTGTCATAAAACGTGTATTATCACGCAAAGTCCATCAAATCCTGTGAGGGAGTTGTGTTTAACGCCGCTTTTAAAATTATTCCAGTTATATCACGGCGTGTCAGTTTTAATGTGGGAGGAAAGCCCGAAGTGATGCAGGTCTCAGACGTTTACCACTTCGGTGAAACCCACAGGCACGGGTATGGTGCTGACAAACCTAGAAACATAATCAGGGCGAACTGGGATTCGAACCCACTATCATAGGTTTCTGGCATGCCCAAGGGACGCAACTCTGCACAGTGAATCACGGCGCCGCTTTAAACGACTGGGACACCCATGCCCCCCCAAATCACATGAGCACCTTGATTAAAAACATGAAAATATTTGGAAAATAATCTGTTGACGCTAAGTTGACGGTAAAGATGCTTTACAAATCCTGCAATCAGCCAAAATTGGCACAGCAGTTGACAAACCTGATGCCAATTTCGTTAAGCAATTTGGATTGGACAATGCATAGACTCGTTAATCCAGACAAAATATAACTCCATAATTCCAGCCTAGTTTGGCAAGGGTGGAAACTGTTTGTTGTTGTTTAATGCTGCACTCAACAATATTCCAGCTATAAAACGGCAGCCCATAAAGAATTGAGTCTGGACCAGATAATCCAGTGATCAATATCACGAGCATTGATCCACTCCATTGGGATATGAGTCTGCCAGCCTGACCACCCGATCATGTTAGTCGCTCTTATGACAAGCATAGTCAGCTTTGATCTTTTGAATACACTTGAAACTGGTTATATTAACATGTATGTAAACAAAATTTCAGTTGAATCCACCAAGCCATTTGGAGATATCGACAATTTGAAAAGCTTATTGCCACTCATGCAGCTTGACAACATGTGACCTACATGTTAGGGGAGCTAAAATTGTCTACAAAATAAAAGTGAAAATGATGCTGTACCTTCAATGTCATCCACATCCATCGTCCTCCGATAGTTGATACGGAACAGGAAAGATTCCAACACAAAGGCCACCACGATATTCATCACAACCTGCAGGGGAGATAACTCACAATTTGATACTTCATCTCACAATAAAATACATTCAATAGCTTGAGGTGGACGCAATTTTGGAGAGCCAGAGACAGTTGTAATTTTGGAAAGCTAGAGACAGTTGTAATTTTGGAAAGCTAGAGATAGTTTATAATTTTGGAAAGCTAGAGACAGTTGTAATTTTGGAAAGCTAGAGATAGTTGTAATTTTGGAAAGCTAGAGACAGTTGTAATTTTGAAAAGCTAGAGATAGTTGTAATTTTAGAAAGCTAGAGACAGTTGTAATTTTGGAAAGCTAGAGATAGTTGTAATTTTGGAAAGTTAGAGATAGTTGTAATTTTGGAAAGCTAGAGACAGTTGTTATTTTGGAAAGCTAGAGATAGTTCTTATTTTGGAAAGCCAGAGACAGTTGTAAGTTTGGAAAGCTGGAGATCGTTGTAATTTTGGAAAGCTTGAGAAAGTGGTAATTTTGGAAAGCCAGAGATGGGTGTAATTTTGGAAAGCCAGATATAGTTGTAATTTTGGAAAGCTAGAGATAGTTGTAATTTTGGAAAGCTAGAGACAGTTGTAATTTTGAAAAGCTAGAGATAGTTGTAATTTTGGAAAGCTAGAGACAGTTGTAATTTTGGAAAGCTAGAGATAGTTGTAATTTTGGAAAGCTAGAGATTGTTGTAACTTTGGAAAGCCAGATATAGTTGTAATTTTGGAAAGTTAGAGATAGTTGTAATTTTGGAAAGCTAGAGACAGTTGTAATTTTGGAAAGCTAGAGATAGTTGTAATTTTGGAAAGCTAGAGATTGTTGTAATTTTGGAAAGCTAGAGAAAGTTGTTATTTTGGAAAGCTAGAGATAGTTGTTATTTTGGAAAGCTAGAGACAGTTGTAATTTTGGAAAGCTGGAGATAGTTGTAATTTTGGAAAGCTTGAGAAAGTGGTAATTTTGGAAAGCTAGAGATAGTTGTAATTTTGGAAAGCTAGAGATTGTTGTAACTTTGGAAAGCCAGATATAGTTGTAATTTTGGAAAGTTAGAGATAGTTGTAATTCTGGAAAGCTAGAGACAGTTGTAATTTTGGAAAGCTAGAGATAGTTGTAATTTTGGAAAGCTAGAGATTGTTGTAATTTTGGAAAGCTAGAGAAAGTTGTTATTTTGGAAAGCTAGAGATAGTTGTTATTTTGGAAAGCTAGAGACAGTTGTAATTTTGGAAAGCTGGAGATAGTTGTAATTTTGGAAAGCTTGAGAAAGTGGTAATTTTGGAAAGCTTGAGAAAGTGGTAATTTTGGAAAGCTAGAGATGGGTGTAATTTTGGAAAGCCAGATATAGTTGTAATTTTGGAAAGCAAGAGATGGGTGAAATTTTGGAAGGCCAGAGATTCTCCTATTTCCCATGGCCTTTGCTGGGAATCACAGCCGCACTCACCATCATCACGATGTAGAACAGCATGAAGTAGATCCGCGTCCACTCGCTCCAGCCCAGCGCATACCCCTCCTACAACAGAACAGTGTAGCTGTGAAACAAGAACATCCAACAAACAAGGTGGGCTGTCTTATATCATTTACCAGAGCAAAGCCGTGTTAGTCTGAACATCTGGACCTGACTTCCGGATACCTACTGCAGGCTACCATGTATATCTAGTGTTTGTTTGTTTGTTGTTTAACGCTGCACTCAGCAATATTCCAGCTATATGACGGCGGTCTGTAAATTATCGCGTCTGGACCAGACAATCCAGTGATTGATATCTTGCATCGATCCACGCAAATTGGGATACGATGACATGCATCAATCAAGTCAGCGAGCCTGACCACCCTATCCTATCAGTCGCCTCTTACGACAAGCATAGTCGCCTTTTATTGCAAGCATGGGTTGCTGAGGACCTATTCTAACCTGGATCTTCACGGGAGGTATATATCTAGTGACCATACCATACACCCATTTACATTAAACTGGACATCTCACTGGTAGCAGAACAGTCTGGTTTAACATTTCCACTTCCTAGACAGGAGGAGTCTCCATTTCATTATAATAACATTTAGATAATGTCTCACTTAACCTAAAAGAAGCAAACAGACAAACTGTAACAGCAAATCCATTGTGTGAAACATTGTTCCAAAAAGTTACAAAAAGCGATGGTTTTTTTATGCATTTGGAACACACCAGGGAGGAGAGAGAAAGTTTTTCATATTATTTTTGATTCATATTGAAAACAGGGACTGCTTCCACTCTAGCTGTGCCCTTGAGACACTAAAAACAACCCACAAGCACGGGTATGGTGCTGACAAACCTATAAATATAATCGGGCCAAACCGGGATTCGAACCAACAATCATAGGTTTCTGGTGTGCCCAAGGGACGCAACTCTGCAAACTCTGCACAGCAAATCACGGCGCCTTAGACGACTTGGCCACCCGTGCCCCCCCCCATTATAATGAACCAGTTATCAATTCACCATTAAAATGAACCAGTTATCAACTCACCATTATTATGAACCAGTTATTAACGACAGTCAGTTCAAACAACGTCACTGAAAGAAAATTGAAACCAATTCCTTTACACATACTGAAAATTTTCGATAAAAAAAACTTTCACTTCAACATGCTACAACTACATGAAGCCATTCCTAACTGCTTTATCGAAGTAATTGATCCACTACTTTGTCTCCATCAGCTAAGCAGGGAGTTGAGAAAGGCTGCTTTGAACAGTATTTCAGTTACCGTATTCGACGTAATAAGCGCCCAGGGCCCTCTCAAAATTAGAAATTGGGGGCTCTTATTAGAATATTATATAGTTGAAAAATAAATTTCGTGGTTTATGCTGACAGCCTGAAATGTTTATATACGACAGATACATTTTTCCATAATTTAATTGCCCATAATTAAGGGTGCAAATAACACACGAGTGCATATTATTCACGAATAAATAAGTCATGTGTACATTGATCAATCGGAAGGGGTGCTAATTGGGATTTCTCACTAGCCAATATATTAGCAAATATCGCCGTGGGCGCTTCTTACGTCGAATACGTTATATCACAGCGTGCGGACTAAATGTCCAAGACCAACATGTTTACAGCTTTGGTAAAACCTTGAATTATAATCAGGGCCAATCTTGAATTCAAACTCATGACCAGCAGATTCTGCTAAGGCTCAGGGTGACGTTATACAACCTGAACGCTATGACTGTCTTGAGTATATGTTAAGGTATGGGAGTTCTGATCACCTAAGCGCTAAGATCGCTTTGTACAACAGCACCCAGGAAGCTAACTTAGCACCTTTGACTGCTGGGCCACCCTTTGCTGGAACTAATAATAGAGATAGATCCTGGGAAGTTTGTTTTATTTTTGCTTGTGTGTTGTTGAAAGCCACATTCAGCAATAGTCCAGCTATATGATCGCGGGCTATAAATAATCAAGTCTGGTGAGTCGTAACGTGAGCATCAATGACCTTGAGGTACCATGACACACATTCAAGCCAGCCACACAGAGTCTGACCACCCGGTCCAGTAGGTCATCTCCTACAGCCAGAGAAGGTTGGGGGGCCTGTTGTACCTGGACCCCCCCCCATAGGGAGGAGTGTGATGTAGGTTGACCCATCTTCCCAAGGCAAGGGAGTTAACTGATTTAAAAGTCAAGTTTCCGCCCTTGCAAAACGAGGCTGGAATTATGGAGTTATATTTTTGACAATGCATAGTCCAATCAAAATCATGTAACAAAATTGACATCCAGTTCATAAACTGTCATGCAGATTTCGGTAGATTGCAGGATTTGTAAAGCATGTGCACTGCCAACTCGCGATGTAAGACCCGTTTTATCACAATAAAGATCTTGATCATTGATCAGATCGTCCTGACTGGGCGCTGCCATTTTGTTAGAAACAAATGCAGGTGATATGAGAAGTGAAATCTGATTGGTCAATAGGAGAGGCATAGAAAGGACATAACTCGTAATAGCCACTGGTGGCACTATGATCAAACCCAGAAATTCCAGACTAGTTCGGCCAGGGTGGAAAGTGGACTTTTACAGTCAGTTAACTCCCTTGACTCAGGAAGATGAGGTTGACCACGAATCATGACTATAGCTACAGGTGCCCTATTCAGGCAGGTGGCTCACCTCCGGATCGGAGGATGTTGTCAAAGTTGTTCAAGTAGTAGCCCTGTTGGTTCTTGCTGTCGAAGCTGTAGTAATCAGCCATAGTGGAATTCCTGGAACAACAAACACTTGGCAGTCAGCCAACAGTGCTGTAGCCAGAGGGGGGGGAGGGGGGGCAGTTGCTCCCCCCCGGATTTTTTTACAGAAAACAGTTAACTTGAACAAAAAATGAATAATCTTATTTGCCCCCCCTGTCATAAAAAGTTGGTCAATGTTCAGTAAAGAAGTAGCATGGCATTTAATTGGGTAACCTAGCAACTCTTGTGCCTGTGTTAATATTACCATCAACCTATACATATTGGGCCACCCCTACTAGTGGATATAATACACAGAATTACCTACCTGCAAATCACAATACCAGATCATTTGTCTCTTATGTCATAACGATAAAAATTACTCGCCAAACTTTATTCACTCATTACAGATAATCTACAAATCCTAGTTCTCGATTACAGTGAGTGAGTTAAAATTTAATGTCACATCGGCATAATTTCAGGAATATCGTGATGAGAGAAAGTACTACATTCAAAAGTTCTTGATTAGAAACAAACCCTAATGTTTTCCAATTACCTATAAAATGTATGCTAAAAGAATGTGTTGGGTTTACCATGTTTACAAAATTAGAAATGACTATTTGTAAAGACTAGTCCAGAGTCCTCAGAGTTTGAAGCTAGTCCTGCTTGAACAAAACAAAATGTTTACCATGTTCAGTTTTATTTTGCAGAAAAAATTAAAGCTTTGGTTCAGACTTATAGCCCTCAATTGAGGACTATTATGATTTGATAAATACTTGTCCACACAATTGGGATCGATGACATGTATCAACCAAGTCAGTGAGCCTGACCACCCGATCCCGTTAGTCGCCTTTTACGACAAGCAAAGTCGCCTTTTATGGCAAGCATGGGTTGCTGAAGACCTATTCTACCCCGGAATCTTCACGGGTCGGAAAGGTCACAACACGCAACAAGAGATCTGCAAGGTTTATAAAACAGCTAACTTACTTGCAACAGTTCTTCAGGTCGACATTGAGAAACATTTCCATGCCGATGATGGCAAAGAAATAGTAGACCATGATGATCACCACCGCCAAACTGAAACACAACAGTGAGTGAGTGAGTGAGTATGGTTTAACGCCACTTTTAGTAACAATCTCGTTAAAATCAGATCTTAGTTCCACTAAACAAAGATCTGAGGACATCCCATTGGGGGTCATGTCAGAACGACCTTTCATCCGACCAATCAGAGCGTCACTTACCAGATCACGAAAGTGACAGTCAGAATGTGATTTCTAATCATGCAGCATCGAAAACTTTAAAACTGGGTATTCCGAACGATAGTTACAGGCTTAACGACTGAATCTATACAATCTAGACCATATATTAGCCATTCGAGAATGTTCTTTTGTTCAGGTTTCAAATTTTTAAGCGAGAATTGGTCAATATATGTTTCGAAGCGTAGTCGCCCCAGGAATTCCAGCCTAGATTGGCAAGGGTGGAAACTGGACTTTTATAGTCAGTCAACTCCCTTGCCTCGAGAAGACGTCTTTTTGATGGAAAGGATATCTTCATGTCCATTAAAACTGGCGGTGGCAAGTACTCCTTTACTTATTTCCATTTTCCTTTTCTCAACATTTGATTGGTCGGGAAATGTCAATGAAACTCAGGGGCAGGTAATTTGACGTCGTGAGAACCACGGGAGTGGATCCAGGGGTTATTGTAGGGAATTCATGTCTCTCTACAGAAGCAATGTCACAAACACTGGAGTCTGTCTCAGCAATACTCCCACATCTTCCCGAGGCAAGAGAGTTAACTGACTTTAAAAGTCCAGTTTCCACCCTTGCCGAACTAAGCTGGAATTCCTGGCCTGGATCGTAGCGCCACCGGTGGCTTTTCCGAGTTATGTCCTTTCTATGCCTCTCCTATTGACCAATCAGATTCAACCTCTCGTATCACTTGCATTTGCTTCAAACAAAACGGTGGCGCCCACTCAAGACGATTTGATCGATAATCAAGATCTATATTGTGATAAAACGAGTCTTACATCGCGAATATCATCAAATCACGTGAGCACCTTGATTAAAAACATGAAAAGATTTAGAAAATATCTGTTGAAAACGAGTTGGCGGTGCACATGCTTTGCAAATCCTGCAATCGACCGAAATCTGCATGACACTTTACGAACCGGATTTCGATTTCAGTGCGCGATTTTGATTGGACTATGCATAGACTCGTTAGTCCAGCCAAAATGTAACTCCATAATACCAGCCTAGATCGGCAAGGGTGGAAACTGGACTTTTATAGTCAGTTAACTCTCTTGCCTCGGGAAGATGTACTCCCACTACGTGACTGTGGTCTGTAAGAGTCTGGACAAGACATACCAGTGACTGACATCATGAGCATAGATCCATGCAATTGGTATATGATGATGTCGACCCTGACAAAAAGGTCAAACTATGTTCTGTTTTTGTTCCATATTTTGGATGCAAATTTGGCACACCTATAAATTTTTTAATATTTTTATACGTGGATGAAACAAGCAGAATATGTCACCTAGTGTTACTGGAAATTATTAGCATGAAGATGTCATGGCATCTCTGAGGCCATGTTGAATGCAGTAACGAAATAAAAATTTGAAACTTTGTTGGTTTTTATCCTTTCAGCACTTCCTTTCTGCAGGTGTAACATTTTCAATGATTCCAATCAACCAAGTCACCGGGCCTGACCCCCTCATCCATTTAGTTGCCTGTTATGGCATAACGGTAGGTGTCTTACCCAGAATCCCCACAGGTAACCAGAACAATAATTGGGATCAGCCTGACCACCCCATCCATTAAGTCACCTCTTACGACAAGCATGGGTTGCTGGTTTGACTCAAACCCGATTCCCTACGGGGTTAAACCAGGGACTTATGTACACCTACTCAGAGGCTGATATTCGGCCCCAAGTTTGCAGCAAATGACAGTCAAATTTCCTAAACTGAATTAAAATTGTCCCAAGAGCTCAGAATTTACGAAAATACAAACAGTTGAAAAATCCAATATCACAATTTGTTTCCCAATTTTCCAGCTAAGGCACTTAGTTTGGAATCGTAGATAAATCCCTGAAGCCCTGCTGTACTGCATCATCAATAACAAGAAACAACTCATGGACACTGATGATCTCTGACGCACCATGGAAAATATCAGTCGCTAGTTTGTCTGTTCCAGACTTGATTACCGTATATCGCTGTGTATAAGGCGACCCCATGTATAAGACGACCCCCCTGTACATGCCTTCAAAATCGACCCAAAATCCTATACTCCGTGTATACAGCGACCTGGAATGAAGCACATCACAAGTGCGCACACAAACCTTATATATGCAATAAAAATATGTTTATCTTGCGTTGTTTGGTCTACGATGATTGGTCGCGTGTGTAACTCCAGCACATGTTGCCATTTTGTGTTTACACAGTACGATACGGTATCTACAGGCCGCTGGCATATTGCTGAGTGTGGCTTTAACAACAAACAAACAGACCTTCATATTACTAGTCAACATTTGATAGGGGTATTGGGATTGTGCTCCTTTACATATCATCAGTAATCATTTTGGACTGAACGAACAATAGGAATAGTCCCATCACAACTACATAAGTATTGATATATATATAGAATCAAAAGTATCTTCACCTGGTCAGTCGTGAAAACAGCACAAACAGTGTGCCCAGCACATCTCGATAGCGTCTCTTGATTTTAAATAACCTGAGAAGAGTGAAAAACAGCTATTAATAATACGTTGTTTATTATTATTATGATTATGATTATTAATATTATCCAGAAGCTGGTATTGCCACATAAAAGTCACAACAGATAAACATAATCTTTTAACACTTGCACTAATTATTAACTCCTTGATGCCCCCAAATCTGAGAAGATTCCATACCTGAGAAGTCGGAAGGGACGGAGGACGATGATGTAGTAGAAGCTGTCGTCTAGGATCTCCAGCAGCACACCGATCACACTGATGACGGTCACCAGGAAGTCAAACCTGGCAACACACAGGACATGCCATACACCTGCTAGCAACACAGGACATGTCATACACCTGCTTAGTACACAGGACATGTCATACACCTGCTTAGCAACACAGGACATGTCATACACCTGCTTAGTGACACAGAACATGTCATACACCTGCTTAGCAACACAGGATACGTCATACACCTGCCTAGCAACACACATAACATGTCATACATCTGCTTAGCAACACAGAACATGTCATACACCAGCTTCGCAACACAGGATACGTCATACACCTGCCTAGCAACACACATAACATGTCATACACCTGCTAAGCAACACAGAACATGACATAACCTGCTTAGCAACACAAGACATGTCATACACCTACTTAGCAACACAAAATATGAATCCTACAATAAAACCGAATTTGGAATAAATATCTCTCACTCTTAATCATTCTTGTGGTATTATGACTACATAAACTGTTTACATCTAACCATAAATAAATATCAGTTACACTATGCATAACTATATGATAATAATTCAATAATAACTGTTTATAATGACAATTTGTTAAATTATTTCGTTTTGGATTTGGAATCAAGTTTTCAAAAAGTGAGTTTGTATTGATTATTGAGGGGAAATGGTCATGTTTTGATCGCAGAATTTACAACAGAAATTTGGCATCTTGGCTGCTGAATTTTGGTAATTTTACTGCAGAATTTTGATCATTTGACCACAGAATTCGTCTGGGACTGATGAAGTGCTATCTTATGTTATCTTATCATCACATGCATCAAGCTCCTCATCCTGAGGCAAGTGTTTCATGACATTAAGTTTTCGAATAAAGTAGTGAACTTACAGGTCCCAGCCTGATGTGAAATATATATGTGGCCCCTTTCCGAGGATCTTCAATATGGCCTCCACGGAATATACTGGAAAAACAACGCTTCATGTACAACCATTGAAAGTAACAACAACAAGGACGAGAAAAGTGAATTCTGACAAACAGAAGCTGAAAAACTTCCTAAAACTTCAGTATGAACCAGTAAAGTAAATCAATAAAACCAGTTTCTTTGTAGGTTAAATGCCACACTCAGTAATATTTTAGCCATATGATGGAAGTCTGTAAATATTTGAGGTGAGGTGAAATGGGGTTTAACCGTTTAGCATCGTGCATGCATATGTGTGTGTTTCTGTGTCTGCTTGTACTAGTCCGGACTGATGCCGATTTATATTGCTAGCTCACTGAGATACCATGCCTCAGTTTAACATGAATACCCCACTCAGACACAGTATACTGACTCCGAGCTGACAAGTCCTTGTTGTAGCCCCTTAATGCCGAGCGCCAGGCAGGGTAACAACAAGTACCATCTTTTAACATCTTTTGGTATGACTTGGCCGAGGATCGAACCCCAGACCTTCCGCTCTCCAGGCGGATGCTCAAATATTTGAATCTAGACTAAACCAACCATTGACCCACAGCATCAGGTTATGACGACACACAATCACTCAAGTCAGTGAGACTCATCATCTGAGCTATAAAATCACTTGTTGTGATGAAATTCTATTTTTTAAAGCATAGGTTGATGAAGACCAATTCCCAAAGGGCACTAGCAATACTGGTTACTGTATATTGTCATGTATAAGGCAAGTTTTTCACACCTAGAATTAGGGGGCTTTCATGGGGGGGGGGCATCTTATACACAGGTTTTGATGTTTTTCCTCCCAACACAAAGAGAAAAACTGTGAGCATGTAACACCGGAAATACCATGTCAACAAGTCCGTACTGAAGTATGAAATTAATCTTGTAATTTAGACGTTGTCTGGTTAAAAGAAGGGTTCATTGTACATGTTGTATATCTGGATTTATGTTTGAAACTCATTTTATTAATTTTATTCAAAATTTCATTGTGATCCTAATCATCACTCAAATTTAGTGATGAACAAACTAATATATTTACCAACGATCAGTTACAAAATTCCAAACAAGGAGTAACCATGCTACAAGAGTATGTTGGGTTGACCATGTTGACAAACTTTGACATTCATTTTTCTAAGACCTGTCCATGATCTTTATTTCACCAGTGCTCAGAGTTTGTAGCTAGTCCTGCTTGAAGACAAAATGTTTACTATATTTACTATGTTTACTATGTTTATATTGTCTGTCAGCCTTATTAACTCCCACTACAAAGCATAATTGATGTATTGAGAACTGATTCAGAATTATAGCCCTCAAATGTAAACGGACGATGATGAATGCAAAGCTACTTACTACATACGAACACAATCGAAGTCCAGCTTGCTGTGAAATCGTATGACTTTACATTGACAGCATTTACTGGAAGAAAAAACACACAGGAAAATAAACATATCAGTCTTAAAATTCATCCACAAGTCAATATTTATACATTAATTACCTTATTTTCTAAGAACCATGCATCACAAAGACACAAATATGCATAGGATTAAAAACACAAATTCATGAAGTTACATAAAAATAATGACTAAATATTAATACAGAGAAACTATTATCCACATTTTAAGCAACATAACATTCAATCTCATTAAAATAAGACCTTATAGTCTGACACGCTATCTCTTGCCATCAAGATCTGTCAAACCTTCGCTAGGTCACATCAGGTGAGCTATTTATCAGTCAATCACCAAGGAGGATGCTATATATTCTGTATGATCTAGTGAAGCATTAGATGCATATGTGGTTTCTGTATCTTGAAAATATATGTACAAAATAGAACCACAAGGCTCTGTAGCTCACCTGCAAGATGAAGAAATACTGACGATCATGTTTAAAATTGTATTGAAATTCTGAGTGCACTTTTCAGAGACACCATAGCGGGGATCATTCATACAAAGTTTCAGTTTCATAAGCCTTGTAGTTTTAAAGAGCTATGTTGAAGACGTAAAGCTAACAGCAGACAGATGGACAATGCACCACTGTATAAGTTCACTTGACTTGTCATCATGTTCAGGTGAGCTAACAAGCAGTTTTGAATGGATAATATTATGTTTGTGCATGTTTTCAGTAAGTTTTTTGTTCAGACCAAAATTTCTGAATCAGTCATAGAGGTGGTAAAAAGTTTACTTAGAAGAAACTGACTGACCACAGATTATATTGAGAATGCAGTGAAGGCAAATCTCTCCAGATAGCTGACATCTGATTGCGTCACAAACCCTGCATCCTTCATGGCTTGTTCAGGGTTCACTTAACATGACCTGGGGAGTGTTTGTTAGATCTTCACCAAGAGGGGTATCAAACCTGGAGAAGGTATCAAATCCGAGGAAGGGTATTCAATCACGAGAGTGTTAGCAAATCCGAGGAAGGGTGTAAAATCATGAGAGGGGTATCAAATCCGAGGAAGGGTATTAAATCATGAGAGGGGTATCAAATCCGAGGAAGGGAATTAAATCATGAGAGGGGTATCAAATCCGAGGAAGGGTATAAAATCACGAGAGCGGTATCAAACCTGGCGAAGGTATCAAATCCAGAAAGGGGTATCAAATTCGGACAGGGGTTTCAAATCCGAACAAAAGGTTTGATTTTAATGAGATTGGTTAAAAATTGCACGTAGATGTAGACTGTCCCTCAGTAGACTCACTTGATAAGTTAATCGTCTCAATCAGGATCCATAGGAAGTTACATGCAATCACCAAATCTGTAACGATAATGTAAAATGTACAAGCTTTAAAAATATTGATCCAAATATCAATAATGATGACCCCCCTCTATAGAATCTGACCTCGGCAATGTTGGACAAGTCCATTTAAGCACAGGTGGATATTTCCCGCATATTTTCACAATCCTCACATCAGTTACATGTACCTTTTCTCTAAATACCGATTGTCATATCTCTCTCATTTTTGGATGCGATCGTTTGGTCATCGCGTTTATCTGTGTTGCCCAGCTACATCTATGGGGAACAACTCACTACACACAATAAACACACTAATGAACCACGCTACATTTTTCAGTTGTTCTTTGGGGTTTATAGTGTAGCTATTTCATATAAGGACATATACTTACAAATAAAATAGTCAAACCACTTCCAACTGACGAATCTGTTGAGAACTGGAAGAGAAAATATACATGCAGTTTTCTGTCAGGTAGTTCAAAGAAAATATATTAATCAAATATCAATGGAAGAAACCCTGAAGAACAGGGATACATTGTTTGAAAAGCCACTACATCAACTGGTTCATATACCATATATCTCAATCTTTAATACAACCTCACCTATAATGTGACACCCTGTGGAAACTTTAATAAATTTAAAAATAATTTATATACAGTAAACTTAAATAACGACCACACTTATAATGAACTGACGGATATACAAACTGTTTTTTGGTCTTGTCCATTTGCTGCATATATGCTTATAACAAACTACGGTTATAACAAACTAAAATTAGTGGTCCCTTGAAGTTTGTTTTAACCGTAGTTTACTGTACCTTGTCTATAATGCAATCTAAAGAAATTACATCAGCAGAGCATCTAGAGTTGAAAATGTTTGGTGTTCGAACTCATTAACTTTCAGCATGAATGCTGTGAAAAGGACTCCGACTTTCAGGATTCATTTCTAACACTGTATAGCTTCCAACGTAAGTCGTCACGCCGAAGATCTGGGTTCGATTAGCGACATGGGTACAATGTGTGAAGTCCATTTCCGATGTCCCCCGCCGTGATATTGCTGGAATATTCCTAAAATGGGCGGAAAACCATACTCACTCACTCACTACAACGTAAGTACCAGATCCTGATATAGACAGGCGCCAAAGTGCATCCCCCTTTTGACAAGGATGGGTTCCTGAAGACTGTTCTCTATTTCACTAGTCACAGCAGTTATTTGAGTAACTCACGTTTGAAGACGATGTTGCACGGATGACGGAAGTTGGAAGACCACAAGGAGTCGTCATTCTTCAGCTGGGGGGGAATACAATCTATTATCACATATCTGTCAGTGACCTCAACTCAAATCGTCACTCTCGAGAGTGGTGACATTATATATACCGAAGCCACTGGTCATGACCCTTGGTCAGGGTCACTGAAGTGGCACTGTCACATCACGGCTTGAAAAGACCCCTTGATATTCATGTGATTTGAGCTGATTTGAAACATGTCTAAACATCAATACTTTAATTATTAACCACTTTATGAGATACACAGTGTATACACCAAACACTATAAAATAGCCTCAGTATATACGTTACATCAATTAAACAAAAATATTAATGGATTGGATCACTTTGGACATGACTCATGCAGTAGGTTGATATATATACTCACCAACAAAAGAAACATGAATACCATACATGTTTGTTTGTTTGTTTGTTTGTTGTTTAACACCACACTCAGCAATATTCAATATGACGGCGGTCTGTAAATAATCAAGTCTGGACCAGACAATCCAGTGATTGACATCATGAGCATCGATCCCACAACTGGGATACAATGACATGGATCAACCAAGTCGGCAGCCTGACCACCCGATCCTGTTAGTCGCCTCTTACAACAAGCATTGTCGCCTTTCACAGCAAGCATTGGTTGGTTAGTTTATTAAGAATTACTCATAATCAGAAGATATTAAATTGGTTCCATGCACAAACAAACTTACTGGTATGTTGTCAAAACCGCGCTCATGAATGCATCGCATATGACATCATAGATCCATGACTCGAGATGCACCATTTGTCTCGCACAGGATTAGTGTGTTAAGTTTGGAAATCATGTGCAGCATATCGTGATAAGAATAAAGACACTCTGTGGTAAAACTTAATTGATTGTTTAATTAGGTGTTACACATTGGAAACATCTCTGCTTAACGTACTTGTCTATATCTTTCTATGGTTTGCGTTTCTTTTGGTGGTGAGTATACATTGCATGCATGGCACTGGCATAGATCCTTATTCTGAATGCTGATATTATAGTTTTGGTGAAAGAAAATATTAATTGACAAGGATGACAAATGTATGTTTGGAGTGCAGAACTGTTTATGACAATCATGTACAATATAGAAATAGTGTAAGCAGTATTAGACACCACCCACCTTCCACTGTAGAGAGCAGATATCGTACACCCTGTAGAACTCCTCCAGAGTTATCCCCCCTGTCTTACTTGTGTTCAAACTCTTAAACATCAAGTAGTAGTCCCGAGTATCTGGAAGGAAACAACATCAGTACTAGCGCTGTGATGATACACCAACAGTGCGATCCCATACGTATCACAATACTTTAGTCACGTTCCGATACGTATCATGATACCTTGGTCACGTTCCGATACGTATCACGATACCTTGGTCACGTTCTGATACATATCACGATACCTTGGTCACGTTCCGATACGTATCACGATACCTTGGTCACATTCCGATACGTATCACGATACCTTGGTCACGTTCCGATACGTATCACGATACCTTGGTCACGTTCCGATATGTATCACAATACCTTGGTCATGTTCCGATGCGTATCACTATACCTTGGTCACGTTCTGATACTTATCACGATACCTTGGTCACGTTCCGATACGTATCACGATACCTTGGTCACGTTCTGATACGTATCACGATACCATGGTTACATTCCGATACGTATCACGATACCTTGGTCATGTTCCGATATGTTTCACGATACCTTGGTCACGTTCCGATACGTATCACGATACCTTGGTCACGTTCCGATACGTATCACGATACCTTGGTCACGTTCCGATACTTATCACGATACCTTGGTCACGTTCCGAGACTTATCACGATACCTTGGTCACGTTCCGATACTTATCACGATACCTTGGTCACGTTTCCATACGTATCACGATACCTTGGTCACGTTCCGATACTTATCACGATACCTTGGTCACGTTCCGATACGTATCACGATACCTTGGTCACGTTCCGATACGTATCACGATACCTTGGTCACGTTCCGATACGTATCACGATACCTTGGTCAAGTTCCGATACGTATCACGATACCTTGGTCACGTTCCGATACTTATCACGATACCTTGGTCACGTTCCGATACTTATCACGATACCTTGGTCACGTTCCGATACGTATCACGATACCTTGGTCACGTTCCGATACGTATCACGATACCTTGGTCACGTTCTGATACGTATCACGATACCTTGGTCACGTTCCGATACGTATCACTATACCTTGGTCACGTTCCGATACGTATCACGATACCTTGGTCACGTTCCGATACGTATCACGATACCTTGGTCACGTTTCGATACGTATCACGATACCTTGGTCATGTTCCGATACGTATCACAATACCTTGGTCACTTTCCGATACGTATCACAATACCTTGGTCACGTTCTGATATGTATCACAATACCTTAGTCACGTTCTGATATGTATCAAGATACCTTGGTCACATTCCGATATGTATCAAGATACCTTGGTCACATTCCGATACGATACCTTGGTCACGTTCCGATACTTATCACGATACCTTGGTCACATTCCGATACGTATCACGATACCTTGGTCACGTTCCGATACGTATCACGATACCTTGGTCACGTTCCGATACTTATCACGATACCTTGGTCACGTTCCGATACGTATCACGATACCTTGGTCACGTTCCGATACGTATCACGATACCTTGGTCAAGTTCCGATACTTATCATGATACCTTGGTCACGTTCCGATACGTATCACGATACCTTGGTCACGTTCCGATACGTATCACGATACCTTGGTCACATTCCGATACGTATCACGATACCTTGGTCACGTTCCGATACGTATCACGATACCTTAGTCACGTTCCAATACGTATCACGATACCTTGGTCACGTTCTGATACGTATCATGATACCTTGGTCACGTTCCGATATGTATCACGATACCTTGGTCACGTTCCGATACTTATCACGATACCTTGGTCACGTTCCGATACGTATCACGATACCTTGGTCACATTCCGATACGTATCACGATACCTTGGTCACGTTCCGATACTTATCATAATACTTGCATGTGCTCCTATCTGTGGTTGGTAAGCCATCTTTTTCTTATCAGGATGGCCAAATACGTGGCACACTGATGATTTACAGTTGGCAGTGTCAAGTATGGCACAATGGATGAAAATATTTATGTTTTCACTACTAATCAGTGTTTGGTGTAACAGTTATCATAGCAAACATTTAAGGCATGAATCAATATTTTTTACAAAGTGTGTGACTGTGATTGATACTTGAATCGCGCGGTAAAATATCACGATCCAGCGATGCATCGGTGTATCATCCCACCACTATTCAGTTCTATCCGGGTTGGTGTAAAATCATAAGGTGAGATGGAATGGGTTCAACGTCAAGATTGTTGCACTTATATAGCGACGTGAAGGCACGCGTGTGTGGCTGCTTGTACTGGTCCGATCTGATGGCTCGCTTTTTAGCGCCAGTCGACTGAGACAACATGCTGCAGTTTAAAATGGATACACAACTCAGACACATTATACTGACTCCAAGCCGACCGGCAGGGTAACAACAAGTACCATCTTTAAGGGTCTTTTGGTATGATGTGGCCAGAGATCGAACCACAACCTTCCACTCTCCAGGCTGAAGCTCTATCCACTAAACAATGGAGAGGGTCTATTAAATAATGAATAACAATGTACCATAGGAGATTTGATAGGAGATAGGAGGTGTGTTTTAGTAGTCAAAGTCAAATTCCTAATGACATCATATGACCAAACATTGGCATTGATTTTTCCGTTGAAATACAACACAATGATAGATGTGAGGATGTTTCCCTGCCCACACTGCTTTATACAGAGAGAAGGTACACAATTTGATTACTGTAATCAGATCTTGAGATTGCTGTGGAAATACCCATGAAACTGACACTGAGGTTGATCATCCTAAACTGGCTTCCACAGGAGATATCACTTGGGTGAGATCAATCAATATCTCTCAGAAGATATCACTTGGGTGAGATCAAACAATATCTCTTAGGAGATATCACTTGGGTGAGATCAAACAATATCTCTTAGGAGATATCACTTGGGTGAGATCAATCAATATCTCTTAGGAGATATCACTTGGGTGAGATCAATCAATATCTCTTAGGAGATATCGCTTGGGTGAGATCAATCAATTTCTCTTAGGAGATATCACTTGGGTGAGATCAATCAATATCTCTCAGAAGATATCACTTGGGTGAGATTAATCAATATCTCTTAGGAGATATCACTTGGGTGAGATCAATCAATATCTCTTAGGAGATATCACTTGGGTGAGATCAATCAATATCTCTTAGGAGATATCACGGCAATGAAATTGCATCACAATACTTGCAAACCATTGTGAAGTCATCGCTTAACCATGACATCACAATCAAATGACATAACTAATCTCTGCCACTGAAGCTGGTTAGCTGTTTTTACACACAAGACCCTGGTTATTGCTATTTACAAACTGAAAAAGATTTTGGATAAGAAGAGAATTTCACCCTGGGGTCTTTTGATATTAAAATTTTATAATTAATCACCAAGCCTTTTATCGACTCATGTTGAGTGAGTGAGTGAGTATGGTTTTACGCCACTTTTAGCAATATTCCAGCAATATCACTGCGGGGGACACCAGAAATGGGCTTCACACATTGTACCCATGTCGGGAATCGAGTGAATGCTTTAACCACTAGGCTACCCGACCGTCCCCGACTCATGTTGATATATTTGATATCAAAAGACTCGGGTGAGATTCGATATCTCATGTTACTGTCTCACTTCCACTCACCTCGTTTCGGTCGGAAGAACCTCATCATTCCCACAAAATGTCTCACGCTCAACGTGGAACAATTCTGAAACACAGAGATAAGTGTTCGAGTCAGGACCAGATGAACCAGTGATTCATATTATGAGCAGCGTCCAGTCGGCTACAGTAAACAACCAATTCGCTAAGCACTAGTAGTTATTCATGATGATATAAGTATGATAAACACGTTAATTAACCAGTTAAGTACAATTCAGAATCAAACACAGATAACCTCTGTTGCATTTTGACACTTGTGACAAGGAAAATGATGAGTGATGATATGCATACACAATAACAGTGTTGTTCTTCATAACAGTCCTTGTCATATGTATATCCACTTTTTAATGCAAATAAAGACTCTCATTTAGTGAGTGAGTGAGTGAGTGAGTTGGGTTTAACACAGCTTTTACAGTTATATCGCGGTGTGTCAGCTTATTGTGGGAGGAAAGCCCAAAGTGATGCAGGTCTCAGATATTTACCACTTGGTGACACCCACAAGCACGGGTATGGTGCTGACAAACCTAGAAACATAATCGGGGCGAAACAGGATTCGAACCCACAATCATAGGTTTCTGGCGTGCCTAAGGGACCCAACTCTGCACAGAGAATCGCGGCGCCTTAGACGACTGGGCCACCCATGTCCCCCTCTCATTTAGACTCTATCTAACTTGGTCCAATCTGTTTGAAGCATGGCAGAGTCCCAGAGTCCCAGCTCTCCATGTCAGCAGTACCTGTTTGGTCGTGACCAGCTTGAATGCATGTTGACATCCTTCCCTCTTGTGGAAGAACAGAGACCGGATCTTGACTTTCTCCAGATTCAGAAAGGTGTCATACACGACAGCCAGCAGCTGAGGAGGATGGAGCACATTTTAACACAATGATGTTGTCTGACTGTAGCATCAATGTTCCTTTTATGAACCTCATTACCCTATTGGCCATTTTAAGCGCCCACTCCAATGTTTGTTTATTTGTTCTTTAACACCGCACTCAGCAATATTTCAGCTACATGACAGCGGTCTGTAAATAATAAAGTCTGGACCAGACAATCCAGTGGTTGATATCATGAGCATCGATCTACGCAACTGGGATACGATAACATGCATCAACCAAGTCAATGAGCCTGATCACCCGATCCTGTTAGTTGCCTCCTACGACAAGCATAATCACCTCTTACGGCAAGCATGGGTTTCTGAGTGAGTGAGTGAGTTTAACGCCGCTTTTAATAGTATTCCAGTTATATCACGGCGTGTAAGCTTAATGTGGGAGGAAAACCTGAAGTGATGCAGGTCTCAGATGTTTACCACTTCGGTGAAACCCACGAGCACGGGTATGGTGCTGACCAACCTAGAAACATAATCGGGGTGAACCTGGATTCGAACCCACAATCATGGGTTTCTGGCGTGCCCAAGGGACGCAATAGACGACTGGGCCACCCGTGCCCCCTATGGGTTGCTGAACTCAGCAGACCTATTCTACCCCGAATCTTCATGGGTCCTTCTCCAAAGAGCGCCTTCTGACCCACTTCTAGATCACTCTGTAAGTAATCTTTATAAGCTATGACTGTAGATGACAATCTGAATTTTCTTGTGCATATTAAAGATTTACAGAAAACACAGCAGTGTAGAAAGGGCATGTATTTGCCAAGTATGATCGAAAATATTTAGTTTTATGAACTTTTGAACTACGACTGTTCTCTACAACCTTATCTCAGACAAGAAATTAAAATGTGTATTATAGCAACAAGAGCCACGTTTGTCAATTTTCTTAGTATATTGGGACTCACCAGGTTCATGAGGAAGTAGAGTTCCAGTGACAGATACACGATGAAGAACAGGCTGTAAAACGGGGATGTGGCGTACGCCGGCATCATCACATCCGGGAAGCTGCGCAAACAGTCAGAGAGTGAGTGAGAGAATGTGAGAGTGAGTGAGTGAGTGATTGAGAGAGAGTGAGTGAGTAAGTGAGAGAGAGAGAGTGAGTGAGAGAGAGAGTAAGTGAGAGAGAGTGAATGAGAGTCAGTGAGAGTGAGAAAGTGAGTAAGAGAGTGAGATTGAGTGAGTGAGTGAGTGAGTGAGTGAGTGAGTGAGTGAGTGAGTGAGTGAGTGACAGAGTTAGTTATATGCAGCCTATACACAGACCAGGCAGCCTTCATAATTCACGATTGTCTGCTATCCCGAGACAACTAAATTGTGCTTGTAGCTTAATCTTTGCTACTCACAGTAGCTATTATAGAATTATGATCAATTATTCTTTCGTCAACATTTATGCTGCCATAGGAGACAAGCATGAAATACTCATTTCCCCTACCAATATGACATGTCTGATCAAAGTCAAAGTCGTTGCCATGGAAACTCAAAAATTAAATTTAAAAAAAATCCCAAATATCAAAAGGCCTATCCATGTGCCAAGTTCGTTTAAGATATCTCTCATGGTTTTTGTGTTCTGCTCCGGAAACGAAACGTGATGGACGGATGAAGGACTGCAGACAGCACCCATTCCTATCTCCCCCTTCCACTTCGTGGTGGGGGATAACAATACCCACTCACTTTGCAGTTGTAAGCAGGATGAACAAACTGACGAAGCTGTCTTGAATTGTTCTGAAATACTGAAACAAACAGACAAGTTTAGAAGAACAATAGCGTAGAACAATAGTGACACAAATTGTGTTCTGACTGAAATACACAAACATACACAACTTGACTGTTTATTTGTTGTTTAATACCAGCAATATTACACTCTAGACAAAGGTTGCTGAGGACTTAGTTAAATGCATTTCAATCCCCATGTCCTTACGTTTATGAAAGCAAGTAAGGGGACATTTCTTAACCATGATATTATGATAAGAGCAAAACAAAAACTATAACATTAATGTGTTTGAGTGAGTTGGGAGTATAAGCATCACTAAACAGCATTTCCATCACATCAGAGTGTGTCAGCTTCCTGTGGGAAGAAAGCCCAAAGTGATGAAATCCAAGAGCACAAAGTTATATGTACAGTGCATCTTCCCGAGTCAAGGGAGTTAACTGACTGTAAAAGTCCAGTTTCCTCCCTTGCCAAACTTGGCTGGAATTTCTAGGATCGATTGTAGCGCCACTAGTGACTATTACGAGTTATGTCCCTTCTATCTTCCTCCTATTGACCAATCAGATACCACCTCTCATCAGTTGCATTTGCTTGAAACGAAATGGCGGCACCCAGTGCAGATGATCTGATCGTGATCTTACTTCCTGAAGTGCATCAAATCACATCTTGATTTAAAATATGAAAAAGATTACGAAAATATTTCGCAACGCTAAGTTGACAGTACACATGCTTTGCAAATCCTGCAATCAACCAAACTTTTCTACTCCAGTTCACAATTTTGATTGGACTATGCATAGACTCGTTAGTCCAGCCAAAATTCCATAATTCTAGCCTAGTTTGACAAGGCTGGAAACTGGACATTTATAGTAAGTTAACTCCCTTGCCTCTGGAAGACGCGGACAGACCAAGGCTGATAAGGGAGACTACTCCTGGAATCAAACCTAAACCCAGGAAGGTAGTGGCGGCAGTAACAAACGTCATGAAGAGGACAATCAGGCTCATCAGTGTCAGGTCAGAATAACAACAGTGATGTGAAACTGTCATAATATCACCATGGCGACTCCTCAGTGATCTTGACAACACTGCTCCGAGGTTTGTTTGTTTGTTTGTTGTTTAACGCCGCACTCAGCAAATATTTCAGCTATATGTAAATAATCGAGCCTGGACCAAACAATTCAGTGATTGACATCATGAGCATCAATCAACGTAATTGGGATAGGATGACATGCATCAACCATGTCAGTGAGCCTGACCACCCGACCCTGTTAGTCGCCTTTTACAGCAAGCATGGGTTGCTGAAGACCTATTCTACCCCAGATCTTCACAGGTCCATGGGACACCTTGGTAGAGACACACTTGTAGTCGTGCATCTTGTAACTAAACAAGGTTCATACTCACACTGTTGTTGTCTATTTGGGACAGTAGGTAAAAACCTGAAACAAGAAGAAATCAAACATAAAGCTCATACGAACATTTGTTTCGGGTAAGCCAAAATTTGTTGTTATTGGCAACAGATGTTACCCCATTTAGTGGTATACATAAGATAGCTACAATAAACCGTAAAGAACAATGGAGAACGAAGTGTGGTCTATTTTAAGATAAAACGTTGTTCTATCATTGTTGTCATTTCTGGAGATTTCAGGGATGTGAGCAGGTTCACGCAAAAAAGAGGAAAAGTCTAGGGGGGTCTGGGGGCATGCCCCCCCTCAAATTTTTAAAACATTTGATTGCATTTTAAGCAATTTCGTGCAGTTTGAACAACATTCACACCAAGAAATGTAATAAATCAATGGCAAAAATCAATAAGTCAAATAAACAAGATGACAGATGCAGTAAAATTTCGAAGTTAAATCAGTACTTTTAAAAAATTGGGCATAGCTTACGCGCACCTGGCTACCCGCCAGGTCTGGGAGCAATACTGCCATAAACTTCAACCCCCATCCCCCAGACACAAGGACAACTGTCACAAGCGTGCAATGTCTGACCCTTTCCCCATGTTGAAGCATATTGAAAAAAACTTACCTTGTACTTACCTTTTGATGAAAAAACAAAACTCCATTGCAAACATAAGACATTAATACAACATATATCCCAATGTTATGGGGTTTTGGATGCTGAAGAAACATTCATAGTTTTCTCGCTAATCACATGAACAACTGTAAAACATCTCATTCACTTACAGGCTAAAAGACAACTTTATCTTAAAAACAAGCCATCAGCTGACTCTGAGTATTTACAATTTCTGTGTGACACCACACCCCACGTTAGAGTGCAAGTATTCGTGACAGGAAACGTATGATGTCCGAAAACCTATGCTGGTGAAAGCTCTGATCCGAAACAGGACAATCCGCGACGGTTGTCCGGTTTTCGATCATATTTTTCGGATTTTTTTTTTTTTTTTTTTTAAATATTAAATTTTTACGCGGATGATGATTTTTTCCGAGGACTACTGTTTTAAAAAACGCGATTTTCCGCGTTTCCGCGGAGATTTCACATCCCTGAGATTTGAACATGCGCTCGCAACGTCGTATATTAGACGATGTTATTTGTGAGAGGGGAGTGTCTAGAGGGCTGTTCCCCATAGATGTAGCTGGGCAACACAGATAAACACGATGGCTAAACAATCGGATCCCAAAGCGATTCCTGTGTTACCCTATTATAACAGATAGTTACCCTGTCTGGGGGATGTAACAGATAATTACCCTGTCTGGGGGATATAACACATAGTTACCCTGTCTGGGGGATATAACAGATACACGTAGTTACCCTGTCTGGAGGATGTAACAGATAATTACCCTGTCTGGGGATATAACACATAGTTACCCTGTCTGGGGGATATAACACATAGTTACCCTGTCTGGAAGATATAACACATAGTTACCCTGTCTGGGAGATATAACAGATAGTTACCCTGTCTGGGGGATATAACAGGTAGTTACCCTGTCTGGAGGATGTAACAGATAATTACCCTGTCTGGGGGATATAACACATAGTTACCCTGTCTGGGAGATATAACAGATAGTTACCCTGTCTGGGGGATATAACAGGTAGTTACCCTGTCTGGAGGATGTAACAGATAGTTACCCTGTCTGGGGGATATAACACAAAGTTACCCTGTCGGGGAGATATAACACATAGTTACCCTGTCTGGGAGATATAACACATAGTTACCCTGTCTGGGGGATATAACAGAGAGTTACCCTGTCTGGGGGATATAACAGTTATCCTGTCTGGGAGATATAACAGATAGTTACCCTGTCTGGGGGATATAACAGAGAGTTACCCTGTCTGGGGGATATAACAGTTATCCTGTCTGGGAGATATAACAGATAGTTACCCTGTCTGGGGGATATAACAGAGAGTTACCCTGTCTGGGGGATATAACAGTTACCCTGTTTGGGAGATATAATGGATAGTTACCCTGTCTGGGAGATATAACACATAGTTACCCTGTCTGGGGGATATAACACAAAGTTACCCTGTCTGGGGGATATAACAGACAGTTACCTTGTCTGGGGGATATAACAGAGAGTTACCCTGTCTGGGGGATATAACAGATAGTTACCCTGTCTGAGAGTTACCCTGTCTGGGGGATATAACAGTTACCCCGTCTGGGAGATATAACACTTAGTTACCCTGTCTGGGAGATATAACAGATAGTTACCTAGGATGGAGAAGATGAGCATGAAGAAGAGGAGGAGGAAGATCATATCAAGGATGGGCGGCATTGACTGCAGCACCTGTCTGGAGATTCTGTCAACAGAAACACATTGTCAGGGACAGCTGGGATCACAAGGGACATTTCAGGTTATTCTCTCATAAATATCCAAATCTAGATCAAGAGATAGAAAATGAGATAAAAAATTGTCTATTTCGGTACTATATAACTTCTTAAGTACGTTGTTATTTTCGGGGCATCGGCAGAAGCATTCAACACTATGCATTGCCATCATCATCAGGTGTTAGCTGTGATAGAAAACTGTTGTCATTGTGTGAACAAAACAGTTTCCATGCATACAAAGCATGCTTCGTGTAACATGGTAAAAAGCATTATGTTGAAAACATCCCCTTTGTTTCCTGTTTTGGGATTCTCTTTCAATGCCACAACAGTGAGTGAGTGAGTGAGTTTGGTTTAATGTCGCTTTGAACAGTATTTCTGTCATATTACGGCGTCCGCATGTTGGAGGAGTGAGTGAGTGAGTTTGGTTTAATGTCACTTTGAACAGTATTTCTGTCATATTACGAGTTGGAGGAAGGCTCAAAGACATGCAGGTCAGGCATCTACAACTTTGGTGAAATTCGCAAGCAAGAAACAATCAGGAAGAAACAGGATTCTCAGCCATGATAAAAGGTTCCTGGCACACCAAAGGGACATAACTCTGTACCCTATCTGCCACACTAACCCTGCATAAATTACATCTGTACAAGATGAACACTGGCAGTTACAGGCAGGCAGTTACTGTAGGTCATCAGCGACCCTTCAGTGGCAACAAAGTACATCATTCAAAACTACTGACCTCCGGACCCCTCGGCAGTAATGTGAGTGAATGAGGAAGAGAGGTCGGAGGGCACGGGTGACCCGGAAGTGGTTGGTCTGCCTGACTAGCACCACGATGGCCTCGATGCCCATGATCAGCAGTGTGGTGGCCTGTAGACATACAAACTGGCAGTAAGAAGACAATCTTCAATGGACAAGATGCAACTGTTACAATTCGTAAGTTAAACTTGTCTCCCACAAATGCAGGTATCACAAGTCATTATTAGTACAGAATGAATTTTTGATTTCTTGTCAAACGTTCTCCCGTCAGGATCTGAGTAAACCGCTCACCTTGATGAAGGTCCTCTGGTGAAGGCGACACATCCTGCAGCCAATATCTTAGTCAAACACTCACCTTGATGACCGTCCTCTTGTGACGGAGACACGTCCTCCAGCCAAGATCTGAGCCAAAACACTCACCTTGATGATGTCCTCTTGTGATGGAGACACGTCCTCCAGCCAAGATCTTAGCCAAACACTTGATGACCGTCCTCTTGTGATGGAGAAACGTCCTCCAGCCAAGATCTGAGCCAAACACTCACCTTGATGACGGTCCTCTTGTGACGGAGACACATCCTCCAGCCAAGATCTGAGACAAACACTCACCTTGATGACCGTCCTCTCGTGACGGAGACATGTCCTCCAGCCAAGATCTGAGTCAAACACTCACCTTGATGATGTCCTCTTGTGATGGAGACACATCCTCCATCCAAGATCTGAGACAAACACTCACCTTGATGACCGTCCTCTCGTGTCGGAGACATGTCCTCCAGCCAAGATCTGAGTCAAACACTCACCTTGATGATGTCCTCCTGTGATGGAGACACATCCTCCACCCAAGATCTGAGTCAAACACTCACCTTGATGACGGTCCTCTTGTGACGGAGTCACGTCCTCAAGCAAAAATCTGAGCCAAACACTCACCTTGATGACCGTCCTCTTGTGACAGAGACATGTCCTTCAGCCAAGATCTGAGTCAAACACCCACCTTGATGATGTCCTCCTGTGATGGAGACACATCCTCCACCCAAGATCTGAGCCAAACACTCACCTTGTTGATGTCCTCCTGTGATGGAGACACGTCCTCCAGCCAAGATCTGAGCCAAACACTCACCTTGATGATGTCCTCCTGTGATGGAGACACGTCCTCCAGCCAAGATGAGTCAAACACTCACCTTCATGACCGTCCTCTTGTGACGGAGACACATTCTCCAGCCGAGGCCTGAGTCAAACACTCACCTTGATGATGTCCTCCTGTGATGGAGACACGTCCTCCAGCCAAGATGAGTCAAACACTCACCTTGATGATGTCCTCCTGTGATGGAGACACATCCTCCAGCCAAGATCTGAGCCAAACACTCACCTTGATGATGTCCTCCTGTGATGGAGACACGTCCTCCAGCCAAGATGAGTCAAACACTCACCTTCATGACCGTCCTCTTGTGACGGAGACACATTCTCCAGCCGAGGCCTGAGTCAAACACTCACCTTGATGACTGTCCTCTTGTGACGGAGACATGTCCTCCAGCCAAGCCACTTAATCCTGATGCCCAGGTCCAGACTGAGGATGAGGAGGCCAAGCAGCTCCAGAGACCCGTGAACCTGGTAACAAACACCCAGTCATGATGTTTGTTTGTTTGTTTGTTTGTTTGTTTGTTGAACACCACACTCAGCAATATTCCAGCTATATGATGGTGGTCTGTAAATAATCGAGTCCAGACTAGACAATATTTAACACAGGCTTATGACAGTAGCGCTAAAAATGCTTCATGAAAGGGGGCCCAGGATCCTGACACACCCAAGGGACACAACTCTATACAGCATATTGCAGCATCAGAAGACTGGGCCACCTGTGCCCTCCCCTCCCAACGTAAAAAGTAAAACACATTGAGTGATGTTACCCCGACTGGCAGACTGAGGTAGGTGACGGCTGGTCTCTCACACATGGCCAGACCTAACACCAGGAGCGCCGCCACGAAGTCAAGGGCGTAGAACCAGCGATTGTGGGCCACCTCGTACGCCGGCAGGGCGTCATGGGAGTGGGGGTGGGTGTAGTACTTGTCATTGTTCTCCCCTTCTTGCAGGAAGATGGCCGCCTCCTGATAATTCAACTGCCAGCGTTTGCGGCGGTTAATCTCGCGGAGTTGTTGGTCTGCATCTTCGTAAGAGGTGGGTATGTCGAATGCCATGTTCCCCGATTCATAGGCAATATCAAGTTCGGGGTCATCTGCAAAATAATAAATGATACAAGAAATCAAACAATAGTGATCATTCTAAGAATTCTACCTCTATTACATTCATAACCATGACCATCTTTCCAAGGCAGGAGAGTTGACTGACTCGTTCAGTCCAGTTTCCACCCTTGCCGAACTAGGCTGGAGTTCCTGGGCTCAATCGTAGCGCCACCAGTGGCTATTACGAGTTATGCCCCTTCTATGCCTCTCCTGTGGACCAATCAGATTTCATCTCTCATATCACTTGCATTTGCTTCAAACAAAATGGCGGAGCCCAGTCAAGACGATCTGATCGATAATCAAGATCTATATTGTAAAAAAATGAGTCCTACATTGCGAGCAAATCACGTGAGCACCTTGATTAAAAACATGAAAAGATTTAGAAAATATCTGTTGAAAACGAGTTGGCGGTGCAAATGCTTTACAATCCTGCAATCAACCGAAAACTGCATGACAGTTTATGAACCGGATTTCGACTTGAGTGATTTTGATTGGACTCTGTATAGACTCATAAGTCCAGCCAAAACGTAACTACATAATACCAGCCTAGTTCGGCAAGGGCGGAAACTGCACTTTTATAGTCAGTTAACTCCCTTGCCTCGGGACGATGGACCATGATCACACAAACGATGCAGGAAAATGTTGTGTTTTTGTAATAACCTGCATCCTAGATGCAGATCTTTTGGGGAGGTGAGAGGGAGTACTCCTGATGTTATAGACTCTATAGAGGTAGTATTCTTAGAATTATACACAATGATAACTATTGTTTGATAATTCCTTGAATACCTTACTTTTATTACATCATAGCCAGAAATAACCAGGAGGAAGGATCTGGTATCTAACAGACTTGATCATAACAATCTATTGTTGTGGTACTTAATATTGAAGTTGTATCAAAGTCATTGTTGTTTTGAATGCATGTTGTTTTATGCCACAGCACATCATAATCATTATTGGTGGTTAAAGTGTTCACTCGTCACGCCGCAGACCCGGGTGTGATTGCCAATATCATAAGAACATGGGTATGTTGCATGAAGCCCATTTCTGGTGCCCCCGCCATGTTATTGCTGGAATATTGCTAAAAGTGGACAAAAACAATACTCATTCACTCGTTATCATCACGGTGACCTGTATTTGAGCCTGTGTTTGTTGATAGTATGAGCAACAATGGCAGCCGTGGGGCACAATGACACACAGTCATACATGTGACACACAGTCACACATGTGACACACAGTCACACATGTGACACACAGTCACACATGTGACACAGTCATACATGTGATACACAGTCACACATGTGACACACAGTCATACATGTGACACACAGTCACACATGTGACACAGTCATGAATGTGACACTAAGTCATGCATGTGACACTAAGTCATACATGTGACACACAGTCATACATGTGACACAGTCATACATGTGACACAGTCATACATGTGACACACAGTCAGCAGGGTTTAGCTGGAGTTACTCAGCATGGAGGCTGACAAAGATCAAGCCACATCTGATGACAGGGATGACGAAAGCACCGTTGAAACAAACAATCTTCCTACAAGAATAAAATGCAAACATGGCAATACTGATAGAAAATACTGTATCTTTCAATATTTACAAATCATTCAAGGCAATGTGAGCATTAGTTATGTTAGTCGCGTTGGCATGTCAACCAGTTACTAATTGTGCGGATTCGTAGAGATAACCTGCATGTATTTTACTGATAACAGGACCAATAAATAACAATAATGATAATAATAATGATGATGATGGTGGCTGTGGCGGCGGTTGTGGTGGTGGTGGCGATGATGATGATACCATGTCACAGTTTAACATAAATACCCGACTCACCCACAGTATACTGGCTTCGAGACATCCAGTCCTTGTTTTAGCCCCTTAATGCCGCGTGCCAGACATGGTAAAAACAAGTACAATCTTTCAATGCCTTTGGTGTGATGTGGCTGGGGATCGGACCCCAAACCTTCTACTCTCTGGGCGGATGCTCTACCACTAGACAACGGAGGCGGTCTGAAGATGATGATGATGATGATGACGATGATGATGATGATGATGGCATGTTTATATATATATATATGTTAAAAAGTAACATGAATTCAACAGATGTGATTGACACTAAAGTAAAATACGGACCAGTTGATGATATTCATCTCAGTATCCTGACCCTAAACTGCATTGTGTTGTAAAACGTCTCCAAAAGTACCCAGTAGGTCGATTACCATCAGTGACGCACAGACACCAACTAAAGTCAACACAGATCTGGCCCACTACAGCTGTATCAGGGGCATGCTATCAACTGTCTATAATGACTGTATCAATGTCACATTATCACCTGATAAGATAACCCTCATACTGACATGCAGGACATGCATCTACAATTACATCTACAATTACATCTACAATTACATCTTACAGCTATATGGGCAACTGAGGGATTATCTAGGATTCCAAACCAAGTGAAAACTGGGAAAAACTCATAATTCTTTTCACAACTGGGGCGGTGGGTAGCCGGGTGGTTAAAGTGTTCGCTCATCACCCTGAAGACCAGGGTTTGATTCCCCACATTGGTACAATGTGTGAAGCCCATTTCTGGTATCCCCTGCCAGCGTAAAACAATACTCACTCACAATTTTCACAAGTGGGATTTTTTGTTAAAGTTCTTATTTTCTCAAACTGGGAGGTATGCTAACACTGCATTCAATGCAACAGTGTCAAACTAAACACTAAAGCCTCTTTGATCCTCTCTACTGGAAATAACAATACAACAGGGGGTATCTATTTTTAGACTCCATATACTTATTAATTTATGACGTCACCGCATGAGGACTTAGGGAGAGGTTTTCTGTGCCACTAAATTATTTATCTTTGAACTCTAGTGGGTAAGCAGAAAGTATTGTAACCAAGTTGTAATATTCAATTGTGACAGCAACTACATGTGTGTGACAGTGTCGCCTCAAATTGGATTGCCCACTAATTAAGAATATAAACTTCGCTTGTGGTTCTCTTTTATTGCATGCATGCGCTTCTAAGATCAAAGGATGTATAGTGTGAAAAGTTAACTAGTTGAACGATCGTATTTCCGGGACTTGCCGCGGATGTTTTCAAACAGATTATTAGAACTCCATTCAGCGATAAACGGTTGATTATGCAATTAGAAGCGTTATGTGCAAATGAACAACGAACAACAATACAATTATGTCTGTGTAAAACTCTCAGTATTAAAAGTGTACATAAATTTTGGGAGCCATGCGTTACCGCTCATAGTAACCGAGGTAGCGCTTTATCGAAGAGCACAATAGTGAGGGATCACTGTAATTAAAATATTGCAGTAATTAAATTTTTGTTGTTTATAGTTTAGTTTGTTCAACACATATTGGATAGCTGTAACTTGTATGAGGTCGCAGGAACTTTATAAGACACTTCTATTCTGGTCCGACCTGTAAATCATATAACCGTATTCTACGTAATAAGCGCCCCGCTCTAATAAGCGCCCACGGCGATATATGCTGATATATTGGCTCGTGAACAATCCCAATTAGCACCCTTCCAATTGATCAATGTACACAAGACTTATTTATTCGTGTATAATATGCACTCGTGTGTTATATGCACCCTTAATTATGGGCAATTAAATACTTGAAAAATGGCTCTGTCGTGTATAATCAGATAATACGCACAGACTTTTCTTTTGTATCATTTCTGGCTGTCAGCATAAACCACGAAATTTACGCTCTTTCAACCCTTTCACAAAAATTATATTCTAATAAGAGCCCCCTATTTCTAATTTTGAGAGCGCCCTGGGCGCTTATTACGTTAAATACAGCATATTATATCATCCAAACAAGGGTACCCAGCTACGATACGCCAAAAACATTACATGTACTTTGGAAATTGGTAATTCCAATTTGAGAATTTGTACAGACATTGGCTGCAGAATTGGGCTGAATATCAGCCTGTGAGTAGGTCCACACAGATCCCTGCAACTAAAGCAGCTTAGGCCAGCGCATCATGCACATGATCACGTGGAGATTAAATAACACACTTAATATCATATTTACTTAAATGACCTTACTTTATTCCGCAGGCCCGAGACTACTATTGTGCTGGGGACAAGTGAAGTCCAGTGATGGTCAATCTCATTAAAATCACATCTTAGTTCTTGCTGCCGCTAAGACCAGAGGACATCCCATTACAGGCCATGTCCCTTTATCCGAACAATCAGCATTTGATCAGAGCGTCGCTTATCAGATCATGAAAGTGATAGTCAGAATGAGTCTTCTAATCTTGAAAAATTGAAAAAAATTAACACTGGGTATTAGGGCTGTTACGATTCACTCTCGTATTCGGTGAATCGAACCGTAACCATTCATGAATTGAATTCGTTATTCATGGCAACTAGAATTGAATATTTATGAATATGCTATCATGTATATTTACATACCCTGTACCTAAAAATATCCATAACAACATATTATATGCATAGATTTCTTTCAATGACAACACTCTAATAATATATGATTTGCTAGTATTGTTTTCACTGGTCATTGTCGCATTTGAGCAGATACTAGTACCTGGATAAGTGCAGTATATAAATGTATAATTTATCAATAATTAACAAACCATGTCAAATACATTATGATGTTATTGTTTCACTGAATATAATAAATAATACATAATCTGCTGACTTGTTATTGTAATTGTGAATTAATATTCGTATTCGTTACCCTATATTCGTGATGTGAATCGTATTCGCCTCATAGTGTATTCGTTGCAGCCCTACTGGGTATTCCAAAGGACAGTTACGGGCTTTGTGACTGAATCCATACAAGTTCGATCGGTAACTCTTTCAACCAGTGTTTGAAATAGACATCGGCCTGTAGGCCCGAGGCCAACAGATTTGTTCTCGGGCTGATTGTTTAAATTTCAGCAGGCCTGTGCAGCCTGCAGTTTTTCCACTGGGCCTACAGTTTTTTTTAAATGTGCTGGCCCTTAAGGCTCCCACTTTATTCTGCTGAGTTTCAGACACTGACCTGTCATAAAATGAATAAATTTCTGAAGCTGAAGTGTGTTAACATTATGGTAGCCTGTGTCATTGGGGGGATCATGTGAGGTGAATGGGCTCACACATCACGGAACATCAGCTTGTGAAATCCCAATCTCATTAAAATCAGATCTTAGTTCTCGCTACCGCTAAACATTTTGTTTAGCGGTAGCGAGAACTAAGATCTGATTTTAATGAGATTGGTGAAATCCTGTCCAGCGTATTTGTGTAAAATACACCCCAAAAATACTCAAATCTTAGTTCTCGCTACCGCTAAACATTTTGTTTAGCGGTGGCGAGAACTAAGATCTGATTTTAATGAGATTGGTGAAATCCTGTCCAGCGTATTTGTGTAAAATACACCCCAAAAATACTCAAAACCCAATTACTTTCAATTACAAAATGTTTAGCGGTAGCGAGAACTAAGATCTGATTTTAATGAGATTGGTGAAATCCTGTCCAGCGTATTTGTGTAAAATACACCCCAACAATATTCAAAACCCAATTACTTTCAATTCACTTGCGAACAGAAACGCATGCATTAAATACAAAACTCAAATGTATAGAAACAGCATGAGTAAATACTCAATGAAGCTTTTTCAGCATGCGTATAAAGGAGCTTATTTCTGAAACACAATTACGAGCAAATTTACTTTCTGAGTCATGCCTATATATTTAGAACAGTTATATACATCTAAAACATTATTTCATTTCTTTTAAATCTTAAAATATTCACCAATTTTGGGAAAACCCCAATAGAGTGATGAATAGATGAGTGAAAAAATATTGGTTACCTAATGAAAAATGTAATAACCCAATTGAAATGGAAACCCTTAAGAAACTTATTTGCGCAATTTTATCCCCTCCTGTTAACATCTGATAAAAAAGTATTAACTTACATGAAGAAAGACACAAATAGTAACATACATTTGTATTAATGTACTTTTGAAAATTAATTAACAGTAATCACTAAAACATGTTTTTTTCACCAACTTCCATGTCACACCTTTCACAAACACATAAACTTGTTTCAGCATTTTCAGCACTTCATTTTGAAAACAGACACTTGACTCACTCTTTCTCGATTTTTTTCTTGTTTCTCTAATTACTAATGAACACTTCTCAGAGGGGTACACAATACGTGATCTAGACTACCAGTTGTCGGACTTTCATTTTGTGGAAGGCTCGGTGGCTGAGTGGGTTAGATCGCTGACTTTGTGTGCTGGCAATTAGGTGCTCACTCTGGCAGGTGTGGGTTCAATTCCCGGATGGGACTCAACCCAAAACAAGTACAAGAATCTCTACTTTACTAAGAGAGAGTGAGTGAGTTGGGTTTAACAACGCTTTTAACAGTATTCCAGTTATATCGCGGTGTGTCAGCTTAATGTGGGAGGAAAGCCCGAAGTGATGCAGGTCTCAGACGTTTACCACTTCGTCGAAACCCACGGGCATGGTGCTGACAAACCTACAAACATAACTAGGGCGAACCAGGATTCGAACCCACAATCATAGGTTTCTGGCGTGCCCAAGGGACGCGACTCTGCACAGTCAATCGCGGCGCCTTAGAGGACAGGGCCACACATGCCCCGTACTTTACTAAGAAAGTGTTATCCCAAATATAACACTTGTTACAGTTCTGTTTATATGCTGTATGTACCAATTTCTGGGTTAACCTTTGTGTTTCAATTTGAAAATCATCTTGTAACCATGGAAAGTGCAGGCCATAGATACCAGGAAACAGCGGGCTCAGGAAGGATACATCTCACCATAACCACTGACTCATTACACAACATAGACCATGGAGATATCTTTTAATAGCACGTCTACATATTACAATTATCCAAATCTGAAATAAGTTTGAATTGAAATCTTATTTCCATTTAATAATCACAGTGATTCCAACTAAATCTGTCACAAGCATGACTGCATGACAGCTGATATTAGAAAAGTGAGTGAGTGAGTGAGTGAGTTTTGTTTGTTGTTTTCGCCGCACTCGGCAGTATTCCAGTTATATGACAGCGGTCAGTAAATAATCAAGTCTGGACCAGACAATCCAGTGATTGACATGATGAATATCGATCCACGCATTTTTTATTTTTCTTTCTAAACGTTTTTATTGTTCCCAGAGTTGTAGATTAATACAGTATTCCGTCAAAGACATATTTCGGATTGAATAGAATGGCACAATACACTCTTTAGAAAATTAAGGGGTTGGAAACAAACATTGTCCTATTTCAAACCAACACGGTTGTAACACACAGTCAGACTCAAACATATCATGTATCAACAGAGAGCTATGAATCAAATGCTGAGAATAAAGGTAACCATTTTTTATTAAAGTTACTATTGTCATAAAGTTACTTTTGTCAGTAAATAATCAAGTCTGGACCAGACAATCCAGTGATTGACATGATGAACCATGATGAACATCGATCCACGCAATTTGGATATGATGACATGCATCAACCAAGTCACCAGGCCTGACCACCTGATCCCTTTAGTCGCCTGTTATGACAAGCATGGGCTGCTGAAGAACCAATTCTACCCTGAATCTTCACAGGACCCCGACACAAGGCCACGTGATCAGTAACATCCTATATTGTAGCCACCCGATGATCATGTAACATGACTTACACACATACCATTCTCACCACTGAGACAAAACACATTTCCATCACCTTTACAGGGGAATAGTAAGGGCTGTGGGGTAGCCTAGTGGTTAAAGTGTTTGCTCATCACACTGAAGACCCGGGTTCTATCCCTCACATGGGTACTAAAGCCTGATTGTGGTGTCCCCTGCTGTGATATTGCTGGAACATTGCTAAAAGCAGCATAAAACCTGACATGACTCGTAATGGGATGTCCTCAGTAGTTGGAAAACAAAGATCTGACCTTGGTTATAACACTTTGGGTAAAAAGATCTAGAATTGAGTTAAGGTTTTCATGCGTGACTCCAAAATCAACAACTACCAATTAAGCTCAAAATATGTTAGGGATTGGTCTCTTTCCATACAGAGAACACGATTGTCTGACCATGCTGCATGTGAAAGAAGCCAGACATTTGCATTTATCTTGTAGTATTTTTTCAAGCAAACACTTTCCACTCATACTTTTCAGGAAAATGCTCCTGACAAAACATGAGCCTGCGGCTTCAGCCACCAGTCAAATTCTTTTCTCTCTAGTAAGCTCAGAAATATTAGTCTAACAATAACACAAAAATTGACTGTAAATTATACTGAGTCATCTACTACATCTAGACATTTCCATACCCTTGATATTTCCCCAGATCATTTCTCTACCCACACCCCACTCTTCCTACTAAACATGTTAAATGCTATTCACATTTAGAGAAGAATTATACATAAACATCAAGAAATAAATTTTTTAAAATTTAAATAAAATTATTGTAAATAATGGGGAGAGTCAAAGTTGGACTCATAGCCGCAAATTTTTGATCATCTAACAAGGCACACAGATCATCATCATTTTCTGCACAGTTTGCCGCAAAGAGGTACAATGGTCAAGACATGACCCTACATCACGTGATGTAGCTAGGGTCAATATGGTCAACGTCTTGACTGTCGGACCCCATCGGCTCTAGATGAGGTTCTCATACAAAACCAATGTTTTCTGAATGTATCACCTACATCTAGCTACCTTTTCATATCATATGACCCTCAGTATTGTTTCACAACATTGTGCTTTCACTGTAAATTAATTCTGTTGCATTGGTAGAATATTTTACCTAACATTGGCACTCATCCTAGACATTGTAATACTGATAATAGTGCCATATGTTAGTGTAGCGGCCATACAATGTCCGAGTCCTGTGATGGGATTCGAACCATAGACCTTCTGATCAGAAGTTGGACACCTTGTCCATATGACCAGCGAGGTTAACCCCGTCAGCAAGCTGACAAGGTAAGGATGTCATCTGTGGGATGACTCCACGCCCTGCTACATACTCCCCCGTCAACAGAAGGCACGTCCCGGGCGGCATAGTAGGGTATTGAGGCTTATTTTGCTCAAATTTAATATGAATGTGCTCAGCCCCACGTTGGGTGCCAATGTGACGGCCATAAAATTTCCGAGTCCCGCGATCGGATTCGAACCACGGAACTCCGGTCAGAAGTCAGACGCCTTAACCACATGACCAAAGAGGTTAACCACGTCAGCAAGCTGACAAGGTAAGGATGTCATCTTTGGGATGACTCCACGCCCTGCTACATTAGAAAGCTCAGAGAGTGAGACATTGTTGGTTTAATTCCAGTACTCACTCCAAGTACTAACGCAAGCAAGGTGTTATAAAAATGACACGAATAAGTAATAACTACTTTGCTGAAGAGTTAGTAACATCTTTTCATAACTATGATTACAAATAGTATTGAAACTGTCGGGAAAGTTATCTGTCATCCCCAGTTATCACTATTTTCACTGTCAAATATATTGTAAACAAGGCAAACTAGATCTATATAGTGACGACTAACAGATAATCCATGTTTACCTATATGAATGACTGGCACGAAATACAGATAGGCTACATGACATACAAAAATATACACGTTGACGTTATCTTACTGATACTGTGTGTCCGACGCCTCCCATGATCACTGCGAACATTGATAAGGGGGCTTTCGAACACCTCCGCCATTTTGGACGACCCCTGACCTCGTGGCCTTGAACTTGCCGACCGATGCATTTCCGCTTATGGAAAATAGTCCGGTAACAACGGCGGAGTGGTTTGTTTTTAATATGCTTAGTCAAAACAAGTCAAATATACACTAAACTATAATGTTTTGAAAAGGGAAGATATACAATAGCGATATCTCATGTTAATATATCCTCCACTTTCAATATGCAATCATTCATTTCGGAATGATTCTGGATTATTTGTTGCCATGGGACGCAAGATAAACTACATAGGTAGTTAGTTGGTTGTATGCTGGTAGGTGCAGTAAGAACGATGCCAGTGGAGACTGAAGATGTACAGGCACGAGAGAATAACATGTGAACGCAGGAACTCAAAGATATAACGCCAAAGCACACGTTTCCATCTTGAGTAATGTATCAGCCATTATTTTAAGAAGTGTTGTCTGACATAGGGATCTTTGCACAAAACATTCAAGATGGCAGCGGCAATGACCGTCACTGATGTGGTTACAGTTACTCAGCCACAAGTGGAACCAACATTACAGATTCGACTTCAGGCACAGACACTCCCAAGACCTCCACCAACCATGGCACCACAGGCTAGATTTAGGAAAGGCCTTAAGATTGACCCATCTCGGGCTCTGGAGCCCACCAGGAAAAAGTTGTCAACCATTGAGGCCCAGAGGGTTATGACAGTGTTTGAGGAAACTATCAGAAGAGTTGAAGTCATCACTTTGCTCCCTCATATCCTTCAGAACCTTGATAGGTTTCGCATTTCTTTTGGTCAAGAGCTGATTGAACTCCTAGAACAACATTATCGAATCCAGGGAAGTTATCAGGAGATACGCGATATCTTAGATCAGCAGTTGGCTAAACGGCTCCGGAGTGGGAAGAGCCGTTCTACACAGGCAGTAGAGGAAGAAGGTCAGGATGAGCTTGATAGGGAAGAAACCCAAGGAGAGTCGATGGTACGACCGTCTAGCGCATCAAGTGCTGGTTCATTTGCCAGCATCGACAGCCAGACTGAAAACATGAGGAGAAGCCTGACCTATGTGGCTCATCAGCTGAGCAGCTCTTGCAAGAACATTCTACGATGTTTCAGCATCAATCCCACAGCCATGAATGCAGTTTCTGCGGAGTTCAAGAAAAGGGATATTGATTGTAAGGCTCTGTGTAGGAATCTTCATGAGCTGAAGGAAATACTTCTTGGCAAGCTTTTAACTACACCAGGAGAGGAGAAAGAAAGGATGGCATACCTGGATGAAATATCACAAAGAGAAAGAAATAATGCAATTGTGATTGAGAAAATGGAGACAGAATTGAAGGCTGCATCAGATGACAAGGATGAAGAGGTATGTGGCTGATGCTATGCTTCCTTTAGAATTTATGGGCATTGGTGGTAACATTGTTTTAAGTGCCGTGTTTGTGATATTATGGTACACTAATGTACAATCAGTCTTTTGTGAATGGGCATACAGTAATTTCTGCTAGTAGATGTGTAATTAATTTCCCAGGAGAAAGGGGTCAGAGGATACTAACGCTGATATCTTACTGTGTGCGTTTCAAACACCAGGTTAGAGGTGTAATTCATGGAGATTAGCAAACGTTTTAAGCCTATGAAGTTTGAGCCTAAAGTGACATATTTTAAACTCCACTAGAGAAGTTGGCACCATGCTAACAAAGCATGTATAGGACTGGTATGCATGTTGAGGGTAGATTACCATATAAACAAACATCAAGGGTCATAAGTTATAATTGGTTGTTTGAACTGATCAGTCATTAGTTATACGTAATTTCACAGATGTTTGATATTTCATGTTCAGATGCTAAAAGCACCTGCTCAAAGTAATATTTAATTATCGAAGTACCTCATTAGTTTCATGATATTTCTCAAAGGATTATCTGTAAATATGTGTAATGGTAATGAATGGTTGAACAGTTGAAATGAACACTTTCAGATCCGCAAGAAGAACGATGTCATCCGGCGCCTCCAGGCCGACCTGCATCAGATAGAAAAGTTCTCCGAGGAGCACATCCGTCGAGTGAAGACAGAAGCAGAGAAACAAGAAGCTGCTGATGTGAAGAACAGTGAGGGGAAGAGGCAGAAGCTGCAGCAGGAGATTAACCAGCTGCGAACACAGCTGCAGAACCTCACCATGGAACACCGGGAGAGCGAGCAGGAACTCCGCAAGGTGAAGGTCATTGGCAGTGTGTGACAAACACTTTCTGCCTCACTACCTGCTTTTTCATTCTCCAGATACAGAGGCTGACGCTAGCTGCAGTTACTGTATCACCTAATCCATTCCGTAAAAGGCGACTATGCTTGTCGTAAAAGGCGAGTAACAGGGTCGGGTGGTCAGGCTCGCTGACTTGGTTGATGCATGTCATCGATCCCAATTGCATGGATTGATGCTCATGATATCAATCACTGGATTGTCTGGTTCAGACTCGATTATATACAGACCGCCATCATATAGCTGGAATATTGCTGAGTGCGGCGTTAAACAACAAACCAACCAACCAACCCTAATCCATTCATCTGCTAGTGTTCAAAACTAAGCATACAAGACTTGGCGTTAGTTAAAAGATTTAATGGGTCCCAAGATTCAGATAACATAGACCTCAAGGACTCCCTTATTTTGAACATTGGCTATTTATTTGTCTATTTAAGAAATAAACGATGAGGGGGAGCTGTTTATCGTAAGGGTAATGCTATTTTTTAGTGCATTATCATTTGAAGAAGCCTGAGGTCTTCCATTAACTGCCCGACGAAGGAGACAGTTGAAAAGATCAAGGGCTTCTGCAAATGATAATGCCCTAAAAAATAGTGTTACCATTATTATAGCTAAGATGGAAAGAATTTGTTATCAAATAAATATAAACAACATTATTGGTTTTGAAACATTTACTGCAATCAACACACAACGAATGTCATTGACCCACTTTTACAAATATGGATACATCATAGAACAAACCAGATGACGTCACTATTGAACATCAATGTGACGTCACTTAACGAGTGTGATAATGGCCCGTCATCAAGTAATATGAGGGCATTATCAAGTTACAGTGGCCCACTCATTTCTGATAACATGCACAAACTTTAAAACAATGACAAATATTTTTTGTGAAACGTACTCCCTACCCTCTAAATATAGCATCGTCCATTCTTCATAGTTCTTTGTGATATATCGCGTAGCTATCTTATATATTGCAATATTTTGTATTCAATCCTATTAAACACATACCATTTACATCCATTATTAACCTCTCTCTATCTAGACCTATTTAAAAAACTATCTGTCCTGTTAAGAAATATGATCTAAGACTGGTGGTTCAACTTTAATTTCAAGACTGGTAACCTAGTGAGCATGTTTCACCCTAAAATGGAACTAACAAATAATACAAACATCTGCAACTCTGATTAAATGATTTATTTATTTACAGAGAAAGTTCAAGATAGAAACTGAAGTGGAGAACTGGATTCAGAAATATGACCAGGACATGGGTGAACGACAGGTGAATTTTCTTAAATTGATCAGAAATGTTTTTCCACATTTTAACATGAGAAACAAGTGTTACAAATATTTTGAACATTACTGGCTGTTCAATGATATAAGCCAATGAACTTATAGATATGAGAAATGTATTTTGAGATGGCAATGTGGGCAATATGGAGGACTTATATATGAATATATATAAACTTGAATATGAAGGAATTAGCCAATGATGATGCCAGCAAATCCCTGTGTCTCTGGAGCTTGTATTTTAAAAACCCCACAGAGCCCAATATTTTAAAGTCTACTTGCCATAACTTGTCTATTGATAGTTTTGGTAGATTCTACTCGATGTGTTTGAAATGAACATAAAAGTCAAGGTGTCCTTTTCATGACCCAAAGGGAATAAGTTAATGGCTACGGCAGTCCCTACACGTTTGGTGGTCCCTATTCTACAGCAGTAGACGTCAAGGAACCATCTTAACTGTGAAAACTGCTGTAAGAAACACACAGTCTGAACCAAGTTGTTCAATTCAAATTCCATTTTTCAGGATGAGTATGAGGAGATTGATGCCATCTACACCGAGGAGAAGAAACAGCTGAACGAGTTGGAGGAACGCTTCAAGACCCTGGAGGCCGAGTACTTGCAGATCATGGAGGAGAGGAGACTTGCCCGGGAGAAACGCGAGAAGGCCGAGAGAGAACTTGCTCTCATGGTCAAGGCCGCCACAACCGTCCAGGCATTCTGGAGGTCATTCAAAGTCCGAAAAGCCCTCAAGTCCAAGAAGAAGAAGAAGGGTGGTGGTGGGAAGAAGAAGAAGAAGTAGAGGAAGTGGGGAGGAGACAGATTTGACTTTTATTATCCAAAAGTTTAGAGAAAGATTAAATCTGCGAAATTTCAAATGTTTATTTTTTGTATATAGTTACATGGGTATTCAAATCCTTGGTAAATACTAACACATTATCTTCCATTTTCGCTTTTTCCTTATTTTGTACATACTGTATAATACTGAGTTGATTGAGTATTTATTTATATTATATATCTATACCAACATTTTATTTGCCAGTAATACACATACTAAATATTATCGCATTTGTAGAGTTAATCAAGTGTGATTTGTGTTTATGATTTTGTTTTGAATAAGTTTGTCTCACATTTTGATGTATTAATCCTCCAACAACTGCCGTCTGAAGTCAGCTGTATTGAATAACACTGTTTGGTTGTTTACTTGATGAACCTATGTATAATTTGTTACAGTATTGTTAATCCTTGATATCCATTATCTGTGATAATTCTTCAAACAAATGACAACTTCCTGTTATTGGCAGTGATGGTTGATGCTGTCTGAATCCACACAAAAATGACACGTGAATGTGCTGTGTTTAAGAACAGGCCACTTATTATATTCCTAAGTCACAGTATTGCCTCAGTGATTAAAATTTTGCAAAATGTTGTGTGTCTTGTCTTGTTTCTTAATTGGCATGTCCGCTTGAAGTGTGTTAGGCCACTCCGCGTCAGATCCACGTTTGCATCGCTTCTGTCGTTAGTCTAGTGAAACTAAGTGAGTTACACATTGCACACCCAGGGAAGAAGTGAAGTGTTCCCTCCTTGCTTATGGATAGTTGACTGTGAAGACTGCTTGTTAAACCCTTAAGCCTCTATGGCAAGGCTTTTCTTCTTCCACAGAGCCTTAACAAATGGGTCATGTTATGTTTACTATGTTTAAAGTTTGCCGGTTTTATTCAGTTCCAATTTGTAGGACCCATGAAGATCCGGGGTAGAATAGGTCTTCAGCAACCCATACTTGTCGTAAAAGGCGACTAACTGGATCGGGTGGTCAGGCTCCCTGACTTGGATGATACTCATGATGTCAATGACGTCAATCACTCGATTGTTTGGTCCAGACTCGATTATTTACACATAGCGTCGTCATATAGCTGGAATATTGCTGAGTGTGGCGTTAAACAAAACAAAATCCAATTTGTAGACAAATTAAAGCGCTTTGGACTGGTTTAAAATAAAGCCTGAATCTATACTCAATAACAACTACTAAATCATCCCTGGACTTTTGAGTTCATCTGTGGTCAAACCTCTGGCCAGAGAGTGGAAGGTCGGGGTTCGATTTCCAGCTGCATCATACCAAGAAGTTATGATATGGTACTTTTTGTTACCCTGCCTGGCGCTCAGCATTATGGGAGAGTGGAAGGTCGGGGTTTTCGATTTCCAGCTGCGTCATACCAAGATGTTATGATATGGTACTTTTTGTTACCCTGCCTGGCGCTCAGCATTATGGGACTAAAACAATGACTGTGCTCGGAGTCAGCATACTGTGTCTGACTGGGGTATTCATGTTACACTGTGGCATGGTATCTCAGTTTCTGTAGAAGGGGTCGGCTTATCCACGGGATACACTTTCATGATAGTATTTTTCAGATCGTGATCTGTCAGAAACATCGCCTGAATGACGGTCTTATAGATTACAATTCCCGAAAGTTTGGAAGTTGCCACGACTACAGCCATTATTGTTGTAAACGATCAATAAAGTTATTATAATACACCAATGTTGTCATTATTAAAAAAAAATTATGCAGGTTACTATTTCCGATCATAAGTTGTCAATTAAATGTTCAAGGTTTCTCGTTCTTCATAAATGAGAATAATCTTGAAAGCGTTGTTTTAACCCATTTAACCTCACCTCACCTCACCCCAGTGGTCGCGGGCTAACAGACTAGCATGAATTTACAATGACACACAATGAGTCAGGTCACATGCTGTAACGACCTGATCCTGTAACGACCTGATCCATCCTCAGCTTGTCAACACTGGTGCTGGAGGCCTACCAGCTTCATCAAGTGTCTCCATGTGTGTAGAATGGTAGATGCCCAAATTATCACACAGATTCAAGGTGAGGTGAAGTGAAATTGGGTTTAACGTCGCTTCCAAGATCATAGCATTTCTATAGCGACGTGTGTGTGTGTGTGGCTGCTTGTACTAGTCCGGACTAATGCCGATTTATTTTGCTAGCTCACTGAGATACCATGCCTCAGTTTAACATGAATACCCCACTCAGACACAGTATACTGACTCCGAGCCGACCAGTCCTTGTTTAGTCCCTTAAAGCCGAGACAGGGTAACAACAAGTACCATCTTTTAACGTCTTTTGGTATGACGCGGTCGGGGATCGAACCCCGGACCTTCCGCTCTCCGGGCGGACGCTCTACCACTAGACCAAGGAGGCGGTCCACATGGATTCAAAAACGTGGGTCCACATTCTCTCCATATCATAGTCTTGTTAAATTGATAAATACTATAGTATTTCCATAAACACTGTTTTCTCAAGCCAGTACTATGTGACTTGAATACCACAATAGTATTCAAGAAAGATGATATTTGTTCATCTGTTAACCAAACAGTCTGTTGTTCAAATCTACATGATCAAGAGATAACATAACCTAAATAATTTGAAAATATATATCTTTATTTGAAAGACTTAAAACACAAGTCAACAACAAATAAGAAGTCATTGAGAAGCCAATTTGTGGTGATGTTGACTGGTACTATCATCTTGGTGGCTCGATGGTCCAATCTCATTACCGTATACGACGTAATAAGCGTCCCGCTCTAATAAGCGCCCACAGCGACATTTGCAAAGATATTGGCTAGTGAAAAATCCCAATTAGCACCTCTTCCGATTGATCAATGTAAACAAGACTTATTTAATCGCGTATAATACGCACTCGTGTGTTATATGCACCCTTCATTATAGGCAATTAAATTCAGGAAAAATATATCTGTCGTATATAAACATTTCAGGCTGTCAGCATAAACCACAAAATTTATCTTTCAACTCTCTTTTTTCACCAAAATATTCTAATAAGAGCCCCCTATTTCTAATTTTGAGAGCACTTATTACGTCAAATACGGTAAAATAGGATCTCAGTTCTCACTACTACTATACAAAGATCTTCAAACGCTCTGTTACGGGTCACATAAGAACGACCTTTCGCAAACTTTGACCGACCAAAGAAATGACTAACAAGAAGTCAACATTAACCAGAAAGCAGCTCTCTGGAGCTATACAGCACTAGTTTCACACTGATACTTTGAAAAATATTTTGACAAAAATTCTCAATTCAAAATATGAAAATTGAACAAAAGAACATTCTGAAATGTCTTATTGATGGCTGAGATTATATGGCAGTACTTCCCGTGAGCTATGAAAAGTCTTTTCTGTTAAAATGTTTATCTCACTAAGGCAAGAGATTGACAATGATTTTGACATAATCAGTCTAACAGCCCGTAAATGTTATTCGGAATACCCTTTATCATAATATGTATTATAATATTATAAGTGACGCTCTGATTGGTGGGATGAAAGTTCGTTCTGATGCAACCCGTAAATGTATGTCCTCAGATCAGTGTTTAGCGGCAGCGAGAACTTATACCTGAATTTGATGAGATTGTGACATGAAACAGGGGCTCTCACAACTGCTCTGTATGATTCAAAGGTCAACTACAACTGATGTCAGAATCACCCAACATCAGCTATCGCCATGGTTGCTGTTGTCATAATCTGTATACTTGTTGCTTTTTCCATATACTTTGTCAGCTGGGTACTTTTTGCAGTTGAGCTTAATCTTGTCCACTACGGCTGCTGTGAGGTCGACGTGACATTTATCGGCCAAGCGGACCAGGTATAGCAACACATCACTCATTTCCTGTCCAACATGCCGTTTTTCTGCCTCGGAGAAATCTGAAGAACAATTCCTGGTGTTATTATTTATAAAAATTCTTGGTTCATATACAGTAAACTACGGTTATAACGAACTCAAAGGGACCACTAATTTTAGTTTGTTATAACCGTAGTTCGTTATAAGCATATATACAGCATAACTACAGCAAATAGACGGGACAAAACAGTAAGTTCGTCATATCATGTTATATCCGTCAGTTCGTTATAAATGTAGTTTACTGTATTTAATTGTGAAAATTCATAGTAGGAAGATGGAGAATTAACACCAAAAGACTAAATGCTGTTAAAACAAACAAAATAGACAAATTGATGTTGATTATTTGTTTTTTTCGAAAGGTTACATGACCATTGCATATTGTTATGTTTTACAATTCAGTCTCATCATCGAGTCTTTAGGGCTGGGACGAGTCCAAATTTGCTACCCGGGTACCCAACCACCTATTACCCGACCCTACCCAGGTACCCGCTGTAGGTCTCAAGAGATGGGTACAAAATGTCCGAATGGGAATAGTTTGACAACAGCCCTGGCAAAATATATTTAGGTATACGTATAAAACAATCTGGTCATACATACACTGAAGATGACTGAAGTTATATCTTATTTCAAACATGAAAGTCAGAAGGAATGTGTGCATAGTCAGAAAGATGGGAACATCAGTGACTTGTGTAACCATGGAATTCTAGATAAGTTTGGTCATTAAACAATATTTATCATCAAAAACTGGCTCCCACAGGTGATAAAGCTTGGATGAGATCAAGCAATATCTACACTGTAGATATCACTGCAATGAAATTACATCACAATGCTTTGCAGACCATTGTGACGTCACAATCAAATGACATCACTAATGGCTCTGCTACTGAAGCTGTTAGCAGTACTTTTTACACTGAAGACACTGCTAATTATTGTCTACAAATTGAAAAAGTTGGAAGAATGATGTTGGATGATAAATAAAATCTCACCCTCGTGTCTTTTGATATCAAATATATCAACACTTGTTGATAAAAGTGGCAAAAATCCTCGGCAAGCCTCAGAAATTTTCCACTTTTATCAACTCGTGTTGATATATTTGATATCAAAAGACACTCGGGTGAGATTCTCTATATCACGTGACTAACCACAAGTCCGGGTAGTCCAGTGGGTCCCCGGGTCCTACTCAGTACCCAACCGACCCGGGTAACCGAGTTACCCGTCCCAGCTCTAGTAGTCTAACATATTGAATGCACTTTCAGTGATTTTGTTGATGACAAGTATCAGGAAATTGTCATGATTTTAGCAAACTCAGGACATCCTTCTAAAAACCATCACCAAAATTGAAAAAAAATATCTTGAGGACATTTTGGATACCAATCAGTCAACGTTCAAGAAAATGAACCGATCTGAAACCCTGCACGTTTACATTTGGTCAACATGTGTTAGCTGTAAATATATGTAGCTATTCAGATTTATTCTTTTTAACTTTTTGTTTTGTCAGAGTTGGTGGATCTGTGAACTAATTAAAACAAGTATCAGTGTGGTACATAGAGCACATTTGTAAATCATTTATCTGTCACTGATGGTGTATCATCAACACTGAAACTAAAGGGAAGAGAGCTGAGATGCTGCTGTGAACATTACTTTGTGTTAATGTGACGTGGGAGGAAAGCCAACAATACTATTACCATGACTACAGACATGTACAAACTGAACCCAAGTGATTAAGGACCAACGATCACAATAAGAGTAATATGAGGAGTAACAACTAGAAGACTCTGATGTAGCCCAAACACTTCATATCTTGCTTAATAAGGACAACAGTCAAACTCCTTGGTTACACAATGAGTCGTTAAATGTTCGCCTTTCTTTCTGACAATGCACGCATTCCTTCAGACTTTTATTTGTTTGTAAAGATATCGCTTCTGTCAACTTCAGTGTATGCATGATCAGATCATTTTGTGCGTTTATCTAAGCAGCATTTGCCAGGACTCCGGTAAAACTTAAGACCTGCAGAAGCTACCTGGGTAGGGTCGGGTCATAGAGGGTCGGGTAAACGGGTAGTAAATTTGGACTCGGACCAGTCCTACTTAGGATGCCCCCCACCCTGCCCCCCTATGAAACTCCTTCCTACAGGTTGTGTACTCAGCAATATTCCAGCTATATGGGGGGCAGTCGGGTAGCCTAGTGGTTAAAGCGTTCGCTCGTCACGCCAAAGACCCGGGTTCGATTCCCGACATGGGTACAATGTGTGAAGCCCATTTCTGGTGTCCCCCGCCGTGATATTGCTGGAATATTGCTAAAAGCGGCTTAAAACCATACTCACTCACTCCAGCTATATGAGGCAGCTTGTAAATAACCAAGTCCCGACCAGACAATTCAGTTATGATGAGTAACGATTCACACTGTCAGGGTACTTTGACAGGCTATCAACAAAGCCACCAAGTTTGACCACCCTATAGAGTCACCTTGCATGGGCGGCTGGGTACCAATTCACACTGAAACCAATAAGTGGAAGAATATTGGTTTTGCAACCAAACACAAACCTGGAAGCCCTTCTTTCACCTCCCCCTTCCACTGGCTGGAACAGAAAACGAACACAGTGCATGAATTCAGGTACACCTTGCAAAGATCATGCCACAATTATCTTAGGCATTAACAAAAATTAACATTAATCTATCAATACATTAAGGGACTTCGGACAGTTAAGAATTACAATTAGTTTCTTATGGGTTTGTTATTTCATACAATACTTATGTTGCAGATGTTATTCCATTTCCTTGCATAGAGTTCATGGTCATTGTTTTGTGTGACTTCCTTATCCACGAGAGATTAATTTTCTAAAGTTACACCGAAGGGATAATGACACAAGTAACCATTACAATATCTCTGTAAGCTCCCCAACTTCCGCTGTCAGTGCAAGGAGTAGGTTTCTGGGAGTATGGAACTGGTTCCAGTCACGATCATCTGCGAACTTGCTCGATATCTTCCGGCTGAAAAATAAACAAAGAAAATCTGAAAGAAGGGTACCCAGTACTATCCACCTGTCAGTCCCCGCTGTATTCCTTGATGTGATTCTGCAGTCACGGATTTTTTTGCAGAAATGCCCACTTGGTGCAGAAATGTACCTTGCAGAAAATCGTAATTTCTGCAGAAAAACAGAGCTCCACACAGCGAAGCCAACAATGAAACAAATGCAATAAACGTTAGAAGTGCAAACATAGAAAGTGTTCACCGTTCATCTCTAATGGTTTTTCTTGTATTAAAAATCATTTCATTTAAAAAATGGATCGTACATGATGGTTTTGTCCCACGCTTATGGCAAGCCGTAATAATACAAGAGAGTAGTGGTCGACAGGACAAACGCCCAGTACATTTGAGTGCGGGACTGAAATTTACGTACGCCTTGAAATCTGGTGTTGCGTTCGGTCCTGTTTGGTGGTTAAATCTAATTGTTTTAAGTGATTATGGGGGAGATCGGTTTCAGATAAAAAAAAATCACCCATATTTTATGACTTGAAAGCAATCTGAGACGGAGAAAGCCTTGGCAATTTCTGAAAACTTGTCTAAGACAGTCCCCAGACGTCGGCCGTAAAACAATCTGAATCAAACAGCTGAACGGAAGAGCTAGGATACATTTACATGCTTACATTTCCTCCAGTGAAGGTTTGTTACTGAACATGAAGGTTCCATGTGACTGATTGGTATTTCCGTCCACATCTTCTTTGCCGTCAGCTTCCATACGTGGCCTTTTTTCTGCCATGTTTCTTGATAGGTATACTTCTCTAGCTGTCTATTTGAGGTTTTGTTATTGAAATGGTTGTACCCACGTGGAGGAAGTCGACACAACGCATGCGCCGTAGAAATGTTTTGTTCTCCTGGTGTCAAAGGTCAATAGGTTCGATAAAAATAAGAACTTACACTAGAAACGAACTTCACAACAAATATGCATCAATATTTGACGCAGTCTCTTCACATTATCTCTCATCTTGAGAAATATTATTGTATCTTCAAATCTAAAATTTCCCCACCTATAAATGCCACTTAATATATAGATATTATTATCAAACTCTACACGGTCGAACGTAATATTTATATTGCCTAACTTGAAAATGGGAATCTTTACGCACTTGAGGATTTCAGCGGTAGATGGTGTATGACCAAGCAAACCGCGCTCACACAATTATTTTCATTATGATAGGTATGAAAAAATAAATAACCATCAGATGAACATATAAACACAAAAAAAGTAATATTATCGATTCGTTTTAACGTTCAAATTTCATTTTTCCTTAATAAGATCGAAAATGTGTTGGTGAAACATATTACCAATAAAAATCAAAATAAAACATCGCCAATATTTGAAAAAAATAAAAACAGTCCCAAAATAGGAAATAGCGTTTAAGAGCATCGAATTTTCTAACATGCCACAAAATCAATGAAAATATATAGATCTATATACGTCCTTGGTGCTGCTAAGGTATCTTGTGTGTATCGGGAATGAAACATAAAGTTAATTTAAGCCCTAAAAATGAAAATATGATTTTTATTTGGTTAATTATTTGTTTAATTTGCGATAGGAAATAATAACTTATTTGGGAAAAGCTCTATATTTCTATTTCACCGAATATTTTTTAGTTTATAACATCAGAGACCATATAATAGTCTATTATATGGTCTCTATAAAACATGGAGGTGGAAGGGCCATACAATTCAAATGTGTCTTTTTCACGGCTCATTGGTTCAAATATACCGCCCTTATTTCGGGTTATAGTTGCCCCCCTATGCGACAAATTGATCGGGTGGTCAGACTTGGTGACCTGATTGATTGTAAGTCATCGTACCCCGTGGGCGTTGGACGTTTCCCTAAGCTAAAGCACTGGTTTGTCAGGTCCAGATTCGACCATTTTTAGGCTATCGCCATATAGCTTGAACATCGCCTTATATAGCTTGAACATCGCCTTGAGTGTGGCGTTAACCAGTTAAACAAATGCATCTTTCGCCTATATCGTCTTTCATGTCATATCATCAATACCATATATTATTTTTCAGATCTGAATGACCTTTGTCATAGTGACAACTAAAATGAAATGCTCAGAAGAGATATGTGATGCTTCTGCCTAAACTACTGATTACTTTTATATTTAGATCGTGGCCAGTTTGACGTTTTGGTGTGGATCGTTTTACTTTTTCATGTGACCCGTGAAGATCCGGGGTAGAATAGGCCTTCAGCAACCCATGCTTGCCGTAAAAGGCGACTTTGCTTGTCGTAAGAGGCGACTATATGGATCGGGTGGTCAGGCTCGCTGACTTGGTTGATGCATGTTATCGATCCCAATTGCGTAGATCGATGCTCATGATGTCAATCACTGGATTGTCTGGTCCAGAGTCCAGACTCGATTATTTACAGACCGCCGTCATATATAGCTGGAATATTGCTGAGTGCGTTAAACAACAAACAAACAAAAATAATTCCATGTGCAATATTATTAATATCCCGGAAATCAACATTTGTGTGTTACGTGGATATATAAAAGGCTTTTGATAAAGTTGATCGACATTGCTTGTGGTTCAAACTTATGTCATGTGCAGTCGGAGTTATTGATTATTTTTTAGACCCATTTGATGTAACTCTTCTTGTAAATATATATTGTCAATGCAAGAAAATAACCAGCCTAGATATTCCGCCGAAACAGATTCCAATTGGTGTAAAGGGCAAATAAATGTAAATGGTAAATCTTGTGAAGCAAGCGTGCAAGATTTCACCAACATGCGGCTTTAAACAACATACAAACAAAACCTCTTTTTCATGTGGCCATTCTTACTTGGGGTGTGTTGCCATTTTGACTTGGTTGATGCATGTCATTGTACCCTAATTGCGTGGATATATGCTCATGATGTCAGCCACTGTTTTTTCTGGTCCATACTCAATATTTACAGACCGCCGTCTTATATGGCTGGAACATTGTTGAGTGCGACGTTAAACAACAAAAACAAACAAAAACGTTTTGTGGCAGTTTTATTCATTTTAAAGGGCCCTGATCATCTCTTGTACTATACCTTGTAGACTGAAGCATATTATATTATTATAGATTTATTTGATCGTTCTTCTCTTCAATACTAGTACATATTTGTCAACAAGAATAAGCTAATCTGTTTATAGTTTCTCAAATATATTACCCGTTTTCAGATGAGATGTCAACTTTTCGACATTTAGCCAATAGGAAGTGTTCGTCTGCTGCTACGTCACTGCACTTCCGGCAATGGTGGCTTATTTTTGTCAGGAGACCAAAGTTCACTTAGGCATCGAGATGTACCTATACGCCGTTTCCAATTGCGTTACGGTGTTTGTATAATAAGAGAGCATACCTTCAATTTTATTTCAGCTATTGTCATTGAATTGTGTTTAAAATGGCCTCTGACGGACAGGTTTTGTTAACCTCTGGTCAACTTTCCCTGGGAAAAACGCATTTGTTGGCGATGTTGGCACTGACGTTCCTATTGTTCGCTACACAAACCCAGTAAGTAGGCCTCTTATCAGTTTCCTATCTACAATCATCGATCATTGTGTGCCAGCCGGACGGAGCTGCCTTGGTGTCAAAATATCATCAGAGTTGAAAATGCTAGTGCGATGCTAATGATTGTTTACCTCAAAATTACTTTTAACCTTTAGTCATGATAACAAAATGTTTGTATAATATTTAGTTCTTTATGTAAAGAAAAAGTATAACAAATTTTTTTGGGTGAAAATTTGTAGATTTTCTTCTATTCTTTCTGGACAAAGAGGATATATTTCTTGTGCCTTTCAAATTATCATGATTAGGCCTAATAAAGATCTATCATGTTTAGTGACATGCCATCTCTGGATCTCATGTGAACTTCTAAGCCAGGTCATGACATTATGACAACGTAAATCTCAAGAAGCAAAATGTACAACATGTCGAAAACTGACTGCAAGAAATCTATGTTATGACGTTTTGGATAACCTTTTGAATACAGTGCCACAACTTCCCGTGAGGACGATATCTGCCGTAGGTCACATGTTTCAAAGACATCATTCAGCTTTGGGGAGAATCAGTCGGACGTGAACTCGCGACCTTCGGGTTGTTAGCCCCACAGCCAACTGACAGCTCTGTCCACACTGCTAAGTTTAATTAGTGCAAATTTATCTAGTCATGCCAAAGACATATGGAACTGAACGGAAAGGGTGGAATAGGTGACAGACACTTATGAAGGTTACGGGTAGGCATGGTGTCGCATGACTTTAGTCTTCAGACACTCCTGTGTGATCCCAATTGTCACACTTGTCCCATTTCTTAATCTACCACTGATCTACAAAATACCAATATGCTAGCATGATTAGGAATGAGCATAAAATAAAGACAAGTGCATTTATTTGCATGCTTCGTGTCTTTGGATCCCATGCTTGAAAATGCATTACAATCCCCTTAGACCCTCTACACAGCTTGTAAAGCCTCGTATTCATCCTTGTCATTACAAATCTGACCCGTGAAGATCCGGGATAGAATAGGTCTTTAGCAACCTATGCTTGCCGTAAAGGGTGACTATGCTTGTCGTAAGAGGCGACTAACGGGATCGGGTGGTTGATGCATGTCATCGATCACATTTGGCAATTGCGTGGATTGTTGCTCATGATATTAAACACTGGATTGTCTGGTCCAGACTCGATTATTTACAGACCGCCGTCATATAGCTGGAATATTGCTGAGTGCGGCATTAAACAACAAACCAACCAACCAACCAACCATTACAAATCTAATTGATTTATTTCAGAAGAAGTAGATTGATAGTGTTTGTAGCTGCGATGTTTAGATGTGTGCAACATCAATAAATATGTACCTAATAAACTGCATTCCTGTGCATGTTAATGAAATACTGAATTGAAAGATATAGAATGCATTGGCGTTCCCATTTATAGTCTCATTTATCCACATGAATTAAGCTGAAACCTAACAAAATAATATACAGTCGTGCCTCGTTTATACGGACACTTGCGTCATTTCACAATTCGTCCGTATAAACAAATTTCCGTATAACTGAAACCAGCTTCTTACTGGAAGAGTTACTTCCTTTCATGATACACTATGTCTGGATTTGAATCGAGTGAGCCACCCATGAGAATATGAAAAGTCAGAAATGTCCATTTTGCCACCAAAGTCGCGAGCTTTCTCTATCAGCATTTCATCATTAACAGGCACATTACGACTTACTTCTGTTTGTCTTTTAAAATGTCACCAATTGTCGATTTTCCTATGGTATGTCCAAATTCAGTGCCATAATGCTTACTGATGGTTTCTAAACTTGCTGACGGGTGTTTTTCCCTTTTTTTCGCGTGCTGTAACTGCGTGTTGCTTACGTTTCGCTGGTTGACAGGCCATACTTACACATCTTTGACATCTGACCTCCACAGATGCCATATTTATCGAAGGGGATTACATGTACAATAAACAAGCTCGTCTCAAACGTGTCACTTGGTTAATTGACTTCTCATGAATCAAAGGATTACCACCAGCGGAAGGATTACCACCAGTGGAAGTGTATTGTCCGGATAAGTGAGACAATTTTGTGTGCATTTCAGTGTTTTGTGTATGAAAATGACTGTCCGGTTCCGGAAACTGAATTTCCGTATATACGGGTAAATTTATATAGTAATTATTTCGTTTTGAATGAAAATTGTCCGGGAACCAAGGTTTCCGGATATCTGAAGTCCGTATAAGCGGGGCACGACTGTATTGAAAATGAAAATTATTTCATAAACTAGCGCCTGCTATAAAATATGCCACCACAGACTATTATTGAAAACTCTCAACATCTCATGGGCTTATTCAATGACATTGCATGATGTGATGATAGATCACTGTGGGGAGCTTGCTTACACTTTATGACCTCTAACTTCACATGCATGTTTTCACTGGTTTATCTGGCAACAAAATATCATAAATCATTGGGTGTTGTGACGTGTTTGAAAGTTTGTGATGCTGTATTCTACCTTGTAATTAGGTAACACAAAGCCAGTAAGGTATCCTGGTGATGTGATATGTAATCAGTAGGCATTTGTTGAACAGTGTAATCAGAATACGGGATTGTTGATATGACCATATGACATACAATACTCACCGACGAAAGAAACATGAATACCATACATGTTTGTTGATATATGAAGTATTACTCATATTCAAGAGATATTAGACTGTTCCGGTGCACAAACAAACATACTGGTATGTCAGTGAACTGACCCTCTGAACACATCACGTGTCATCATTGATCCATGACTTTAGATGCACTATTTGTCTTGTGCAGGATTAGTGTGAAAGGTTTGGAAATCACGTGCAGTATACCATGATGTACATGGGTACAATATGTGAAGCCCATTTCTGGCGTTCCCCGCCGTGATATTACTGGAATATTGCTTAAAGCAGCGTAAAACCATACTCACTCACTCACTGTTCGTGTTTCTTTTGGTGGTGAGTATATACATGTATAAACATGGTGAGACATGGCTTTTATATCTCCACTGTTAATAATGGAGAGGGGTACAGGGGCACATGAAGTCTTCTCCGTTGTTATTTGCGTCTAGGCACTCCCTAAATCCTTTACATTGCAGATTAGAGTTATGACAAGGACCCCTAACTTTCAGGCATAATTTCAAACACTGTATTTCCATGTACTTTCAGAGCCAAGTTTTGCACCTCTCTCAAGGTATTGAAGAAGGATGTCAACCAGTATGGCCAAACCCTCTGCACTGAGTCCTACCAGTCAAGATGTGGCTGGTTCACATTCAAGATGTGCACATTTTACGAGTATGTTTTTTTGTCTAATACAGATAATGACCATACGGCTCACCATTATATTTTTCGTGAGAACAGCTGATTGTTTGATCATATTGATCAGTCCAGTTTCATGGTTTTATTTTAATTTCATTTTTGTCTGAGCATAATTTTGTGATTTGGGTGTCATTATCGTGTCTTACCCTACTGCCAGGCTTCATCAATAACTTGGGAGATGCTGCCTCCTGGATAACCCTGTAGGAAGCATCATGGGGGTTTTCATGCTTGTGTTTAATAGACTGCAACGAATACACTATGAGGCGAATACGATTTGTATCATGAATATAGGGTAACGAATACGAATAATAATTCACGAATACAAGTCAGCAGTGATGTATCATTTGTCATATTCAGCATGTTCAGTGAGGCAACAACAACATAAAATATTTGACATGGTTTGTTAATTTTTAATATATTATTGAATATATTATTCATTTATATACTGTATTTATCCAGGTACAAGTATCTGCTCAAATGCAACTATGACCAGATAGCAAATGCTGCAAAAGTCGACAAATTGTCTTATTTTCCATGTAGAACATTTTAAAGATTTTGACCCTAGTATCCGTGATGTTTTGATGAAAATAATTTCAGGAAGATCCCATGCACAAAGGAGCGGAATGACACAAAGGTCAAGTTCAAGATTGTAACAGAGTGTTGTAAAGGCTACAAGTACGATGACAACAACATAACATGCATCCGTAAGTAGCTGGTTTCTCCTGTCGAGTCAGTCTTACAGCTTGTATCATTATCATCGTTGTATCATCAAGTCATAGTCTTTATTAATCATGTACTCATGATCGGCCACAGAAAACACAGATAATCAATAATTTGGTGCTCATGAGGTCAATGATTATCAGAGAAACTCGCCTGATTTGGTGTTGGCAATTTGAATATCCTGGAAAATTGTGCCTATCAGTTCATGAACCTCAGAAAAGTTTGGTTCCATTCTTTTGGTATAAAAAAACTCTTAAAACCATGAACGAGTTTTAACTTGCCGCACACAGTATTGGTAGCCAAATATGTTTTCAGTTGTAGGGGAACCTGGAAAATCTTTTATCCTAAGCCCCTGTACACATGAGTTTATTAATAAATGTATGCTTTGTTTAATATGACAACATTACACAATCTGCCTTGCATTGAAAAGCAGTTCATGCACAGAAAACATGTAGACACTCTACAAAGCAAAAAATGCTTTGGTTCCTAAACATATCAGCTACTGAAGACTGGTGTGAGGGTATTTTCATCAAAGATTGGTTGGTTGGTTTGTTGTTTAACGCCGCACTCAGCAATATTCCAGCTATATGACGGCGGTCTGTAAATAATCAAGTCTGGACCAGACAATCCAGTGATTAACATCATGAGCATCGATCCACGCAATTGGGATTGATAACATGTATCAACCAAGTCAGCGAGCCTGACCACCCGATCCCGTTAGTCGCCTTTTACGACAAGCATAGTCGCCTTTTACGGCAAGCATGGGTTGCTGAAGACCTATTCTACCCCGGAATCTTCACGTCTCTTTCATCAAAGAAAACAACAAGACTGCCTATGATTTATTACATAGTAATGTTATGATGGCTATGCCATTTTGTATGAAAGCAGTTGAAACAAGCACAAAATTACCTCTGGATGTTTTTTCTGTAACCTCTTAATGAGTTCATTGAGAGCATCATTAAAGTTGTTCATAAATGAAACTCTTGTTATTCCACTTGAAACCCAATGGGTCTTCCAGGGAAGAAATGTCCACAGTATCCCAAACTAGTCAGAGTCAATGAGAGAAGTTACAGTGGTCAGATCCCTGACACGGCTGATTGCATGTCATGGTGACCCAGTGGTTTGTTGCTCATGTTTTTACTCACTCCCTCTGGATCTCACTCCATCCCCATGGATCTGCCCGGAGAGCGGAAGGTCGGGGATTCGATCCCTGGCAGCGTCATACCACAAGACATTAAAAGATGGTATTTGTTGTTACCCTGCCTAGTGCTCGGCATAAGGGGATGAAACAAGGACTGATTAGTTCAGAGTCTGTATACTGTGTCTGGATGGGGTATCAATGTTATACTTTTGCACATGTGTGGGCTAGCTCTGTAAAACTAGCATTAGTCTGGACTAGAACAAGCAGCCACACACACATATGCATGCACGTTGCTATAATAAGTACAATAATCTTGAAATCCTGCAATATCAAATTCATCTCTTTAAGTCATTTGGATGCTGTACTTTCATTAACTGAGCATGCTGAGTGCAGGGCATTTTTTTTGTCAAGGGGAGATAATTCAGAATGTTAACACTGGGTAATCTCCCTTTGTTGTAGGTTCTTTACCGCCATGTTAAATATGTTCTGTGTTGGCTGACATTCCAGGTAATGAGACGGAGGATGGCACTGCAGGTGTTACCATTAACACAAATAATGATCAAATGAATGTATCTCAAGGTAGTATTGTTGTTGTAAACAGTCATTTCACTCTGTGGGCTTTTATCAAATTTTACTTTGCATGCATTGGTATCTGTGCTGTTTTTGTCGTCAAATAAATCACATGGCTGTAAGTACATTTAGTTTTGAGTATTATATACATATTCGATTAAATGTTTTGTTGGTTGGCAAGATCAATCTTTTGCACTGTTCCTTTCGCTGTTTTACAACTGAATCTGCCCAAAATTGGGCAAAAGAAAACCTGGTATAAATCGTAACCATGCAAAAATGTGTAAAGAGACAGAAGGCTTATTTTGAAAATATTTGGCATGTGTCTAAAAGTTTAATTCAGGAATATATGGCTTTGTGTTTTGTTTGACTACAAAGACTTAGTCTTACATGTCTAATAATTTTGTTCTATTATTTATTGTGGCCAGGTTTATTGGTTTGAGTATGAGAGATGTCCTATTATGTAATGGATGTTTCTCACTGTTGAAGTTCTGTGACATGTCATAAGGAAGTTTTTTCTTCTTAACACTCTGGGGCCCAGGTGGCTCAATTGTCAATGGCGCTGCATTTTGTTGTTCAGAGATGCGTCCCTTTGGCGTGTCAAAGACTGATGATGCTGGGTTAAGATGCCAGATTTGTCAGAACCGTACCTGTGCTCCTGGATTTTTGACTTGTAGATGTTGTAGACTTCTTAGGGCTGCATTTTTCACTTTCATCACACATGAAGCTTACATGCTCTGAGATAACTGAAATACTGTTCAAAGCGGCATTAACTCAAATCAATTCTTTAATCTCCACATGCTTACCAACTATTGGTTGCTTTTCTTTTTAAAAGAAATTGTTGTTTTGACTTTGCTATTGACTGACCACATCCCCATGCCGTATGATCGTAACTATGTTTTTTCATGTTTAAAAGTTTAATTGTGAGATATCAATATCAAATAATTTCCTAATCATTTCTTTCATTTCCTTATAATTTCTTTCATCAATTATACTAATTGTACCACCCAGTAATTACCTCTCATGACTTTGAACAATTTACAAGTGTTAGGTATTTTCTTTCCCTTCCAAACAAAACAGCTGAAGACCTTACAACAAGAGGTATGAACGTCCACATTCGTGGTAGTGCATGACCGTTTCTGTTATTTCTGTACATTGAATTTCTTCCCGTTACTGTTTGTATGGATTTCTTCCCGTTACTGTTTGTATGGATTTCTTCCCGTTACTTTTTGTATGGATTTCTTCCCGTTACTGTTTGTATGGATTTCTTCCCGTTACTTTTTGTATGGATTTCTTCCCGTTACTGTTTGTATGGATTTCTTCCCGTTACTGTTTGTATGGATTTCTTCCCGTTACTTTTTGTATGGATTTCTTCCCGTTACTGTTTGTATGGATTTCTTCCCGTTACTTTTTGTATGGATTTCTTCCCGTTACTGTTTGTATGGATTTCTTCCTGTTACTGTTTGTATGGATTTCTTCCCGTTACTTTTTGTATGGATTTCTTCCCGTTACTGTTTGTATGGATTTCTTCCCGTTACTGTTTGTATGGATTTCTTCCCGTTACTGTTTTTATGGATTTCTTCCCGTTACTGTTTGTATGGATTTCTTCCTGTTACTATTTTGTATGGATTTCTTCCCGTTACTGTTTGTATGGATTTCTTCCCGTTACTGTTTGTATGGATTTCTTCCCGTTACTGTTTGTATGGATTTCTTCCCGTTACTGTTTGTATGGATTTCTTCCTGTTACTATTTTGTATGGATTTCTTCCCGTTACTGTTTGTATGGATTTCTTCCCGTTACTGTTTTTATGGATTTCTTCCCGTTACTGTTTGTATGGATTTCTTCCCGTTACTGTTTGTATGGATTTCTTCCCGTTACTGTTTGTATGGATTTCTTCCCGTTACTGTTTGTATGGATTTCTTCCTGTTACTATTTTGTATGGATTTCTTCCCGTTACTGTTTGTATGGATTTCTTCCCGTTACTGTTTTTATGGATTTCTTCCCGTTACTGTTTGTATGGATTTCTTCCCGTTACTGTTTGTATGGATTTCTTCCTGTTACTATTTTGTATGGATTTCTTCCCGTTACTGTTTGTATGGATTTCTTCCTGTTACTATTTTGTATGGATTTCTTCCCGTTACTGTTTGTATGGATTTCTTCCTGTTACTATTTTGTATGGATTTCTTCCCGTTACTGTTTTTATGGATTTCTTCCCGTTACTGTTTGTATGGATTTCTTCCCGTTACTGTTTTTATGGATTTCTTCCCGTTACTTTTTGTATGGATTTCTTCCCGTTACTGTTTGTATGGATTTCTTCCCAATACTGTTTGTATGGATTGTCTCATAGAGGGCTTCGAGGTAACAAGGAAACCTTTCATGCTTTCATATTTCATATGATTTTCCTTTTCTTACATGTTTTAAAAGTATGTTATTTAGTAATAATTTTGTGGCCTTATTTTATTGTCTACAACTAATTATCGTCCCCAGTGTTATTCAGTGGATGTGATCGCCCTCAATATCTCATCCTGGTCGAATAAACTGATGAGTCAGTGTTAGAAAATGGCACTAGTCCTTGCCAAACTGCCCAATAGTTAAGGTACCATAAGGACTGGTAGAAATTTTGCATTTTTAAGGGTTTTGCTCTATGTTATTATTATGAGGACTAGTGGACTAAAGATGTTAGTTTCTGTCGCTGTTCGGGGTGAATATTAGGAGGTTGGGCTCTTTAGTTTGGCTGATTGGGTTCACCCTTCCCTGATGACAAGGAGTGTTGCTCATGCTTTCAGTCACTGGTTTGCTTGGTTCAAATTCGATCAGTTACAGACTGTCTATATCGCTGGAATATTGTTGACTGGCATTAAACAACATTCACTCGTTCTATAATGCAGTCCCCGATGAATTATGCGATTTGATAGTCGCTGAAAGATTTGCAGAAAATGTGACGTTCACAGAATTGTAGTACAAATCGAGGAATTTGCCTCTTCTTTTCCTCAATAGATACACTTTTTTTTCATTATTTTCAAGATTTTCTAACGAATTGTGCACATATGATGCCCAAACTTTCCGAATGCGATGCATACATAGACAATATTAATCCTACATTAGATTGAAATTTGAAATGAATAAGTCTCACATTTATACATACTTGTGGTATTGACTACATAAAGTTGACATATTAAACCAAACCTCAAATGTCTAAACATGCTAAATGCAGGAGATTATAATTTGTAAAGAAAAATGTGAATTTGTGAACTTTGTACATGTAAATGGTTCTTCTTACTGCAGATGTTTGGTAATTTGACCGCCGAATTTTGTTAATTTTATGGCAAAACTTGTCTGGGGCTGATAATAAGCATAGTAATGGTCCATATGTTTGTGAGTTTTGAATGTATAGACTATGTAGGATTATTTTTCATTCATAAGTAACATTTGAGTGTCAGTGACACATTTCCTATACAGTTGACATCAGTGTAATTCATGCAAACCTTCTACAACAATTTAGTACAGTTGTGTATGTTTCCTTCCATGCAGCTGAAGAACTTACAACAAAAGGTATTTACCACCACCTGTGTAACATGGCGTTGTGCATGACCCTGTTAGTTACCATGGTTACCATGAATGGTGTCACTAGTTTCCCGTTACCTTGGTTACAGTATTATTTTGATGTGATCACATGGTTATTACCCTTTTGTATCCCATGCATGGGGAACGTCCACACTCCCTTCCCCGAGTCACAACAACTCGAGTTTCTACTGCATTTAAACCTGCTTGTTAGTATGGGCAATATGTAGTACTAACATGTACCTTAATGTTGGTCGAGTGTAACATTTCTAAGTAACGCTGTAACATTGTGAACATTTATGTGCTGAAGGCGTTTTCTTCACTTCAACTGTCTGAGAATGGCATCTTATTGATATTCCCCATTCTCTCTTTAATTTAGCCTTTGAGCGCTGACGTGTTCCAAACTACTAACATGCTTTTATTGTTGTCAACTTTACTTGACAAAAGGCCAACCTTTTCTTTGTACTTTGATAACAGGTTTTTCCAAGATGAAAAAAAAGTTCAAATATATCAGCAATGATTAGAGTGGCATTGGATGCATTAATTTTTTTTCTGCTTGACAAAAATTGCAATTATACATTTTAAAAAATTCAAACACAAACAGTTCTCCTTTATAAGTACTATCTCTTAATTTTGTAAACATGGTAATTGGTGTAATTCATATCCAATTTTAAGAACCATAGCCAGAGAAACCATGTTGAAATTATCAGATGAATAAGATGTCTTGTGGAAACTTTCCCCCAATTATGATCTTTCAGTTATTACAATAATTAGTTAATTTTGATATATGATGGTTAACTATACAAAAGTTCAGGTGAGCTAAAGCTTATTTAGTTGTGTTTCAAAAATCCTATGATCGGTTCTGTGATCTAAGTGATACAAAGGTTGGCCTGGTTGTTGAGGTTGCAGGTCACTGTGACATGGTGGACAGTTCACTCCTGACATTTTAACCTCATGTACTGTATTCCCCCACTGAACCTATTTTCTGACAGGCATCACACGCAGTGATCACTTGGCATCACACCACTGTCACAAGCTTATTTCTATGTCATTTGAGTGGCATTTTCTCATTTGTATTTAAAACAACATGCATGCAGTAAATCATTGTCCCAACAAGACAATATCTTAGAATTAGATTTTCAGATCGTTGTGTATAAATAATTATTGTGAATATGCCGTTATTGGTATGAAAACTGCAATGATGAGTATGTGAATATGTCTTGGGTGAGGGGCGGTGGGGTAGCCTAGAGGTTACAGCGTTGCTCATCATGCTGAAGGCCAGGTTTGATTCTCCACATGGGAACAATATTCCAATAAGCCCATTTATGATGTTCTCTGCTGTGATAGTGCTGGCATATTGGTAAAAGGGGGTAAAACCATACTCCCTACATCAGAGAGACCATTTTGTTTGTCCTGATGTACTGCCATTGTCAATAAAGGGTTCACAAACAGATGGATATAGTTTATAAGGAGAATATTTTCTAAATGTAATTTATCCGTATCAGAATTTGTTTATCTAAATATATATATACATGATATAGTTTTGGCAAAATTGAATTATATAAGCATATGTAAACTATTATATGCTACTCATAAGAGATTTAAGAACAGATGTTTCATTCATATTACTATAGCTAATCCATCTTCCTGAGACAAGGGAGTTAACTGACTATAAAGTCCAGTTTCCACCCTTGCCGAACTAGGCTGGGATTACGGAGTTATATTTTGGCTGGACTAACGAGTCTGCGTAGTCTGCATCAAAATTGTGTAAAGAAATAGATATCAACATACACGTTATGGTTGCATCACTCACTCAGCATACATGTTATGGTTGCATCACTCACTCAGCATACACGGTATGGTTGCATCACTCACTCAGCATACACGGTATAGTTGCATCACTCACTCAGCATACACGTTATGGTTGCATGGGTTTCAGTGTAATATGGTTGACTGGTAGAAGATTTGATTTTTGTTTTCATGTAAATCATCTGTGTTTAGTCAGTAATGTAGAAAGTAAATTGTGCACATAGCATTTAACAATCCAAACCTCATATCAGTATTATAGTAATGTGAGAGAGCAGGGGTAAATTTTATTGTAGTGTTAGGGGGGACACTCCACGATAGGGCGAAAGTTCAAGAAAATAATTGAGTGTCAGTGTAACAAGTACTAGTGGTGACAGAAACCATTATTTTATCAACTTTCATGTTCGGGCATACTTAGACTAAGTTAGAGCAAAATTAAAGCCATGATCGCAGTCTGATATTTTCTTTAGTTGATTGTGTTGCTTTGATGTGTTTTATTGAATCTGAATAAGACAAATGTTTAGTTTTACAATAATTAGATTACCAAGTCACATTTGCTTAATACTTTTAGACTATAGCTTCTTTATTGCAACAAGGGTGGCTAGGTATTGTGATTCCGTGTTGCAACCGTTAGTGATCTGCTGTGTGTATTGCAGGGGACCCCGAGGCAGCAAGGACTATTCAAGACCCAGATGACGATGACGGTATCAACATTTCCCATGGTGCTTTTGCTGCCATTGCCTGCGCGTGTCTTTTCATCATTTGTGTGACAGTTGTCATCGTCATCCATGTCAGGAAGAAGTAAGTATAACAAGGGCTTGTCTCAGTCACAGTCTCATTAAAGTCTCACCTGGTATGATACCTCTCTGTGGGAGGATAACGCTAACTCTTTGTCGGAGGTCATTTCAGGTGAACTTTCTAATCTGTCAATCAGTGTCAAGACTTTTAAGTTCTTAGTGAGAGAGTGAAGCATTCAGAGCAGCATATCTGGTTGTGTGTCTGAAATGAACATAAGCAGACAGTTCTTAATGGAAATTAAAAAAGATCTCACTATCTATCATCATATCATATCATATCATATCATATCATATCATATCATATCATATCATATCATATCATATCATATATCATTTATCATATTTCTTTTATGTCATATAAAATATATCATCATATCTCAGATTTTATTTCATATCATATATACAGCGATAGAAATTGGCACTAGTCCTATAGTCCTTGCCAAGCAGCCAGATTGTTAAGGACAAGTAGAAAATTTACATTTTTAAGGGTTTTGCTATATGTTATCATTATAAGGACTAGTGGACTAAAATGTTAGATTCTATCTCTGTATCATGTCATGTCATATCATATCATATCATTTATCATATATCATATGTTGTGGATATTTTAAACACCCTCTTGTTTTTGAAAGGGAGTACTATATTTAGAAGGTCTGGGCTCTGTGTCACTTCTCTTTTGTTAAGATCAAAATTTCTAAATTGATGTGAAAACGAATGGTTCAAAAACCTATGCATTTTTCATTTAGCTCGGACTGTCAAAGATGCTTAGGGTTCACTTGGAGTATGGTTTGTCAGATCATCACATAGAGAGATTAGGTATCAGAGTAGAGATCAGATTTTAATGAGATTGCTTCAGCTTTGTGAAGTGACCTGCATAAGACATGACACCACGGTCCCGTTCCACAAATTGTTGCGCTAAAGTGATCGTAAGTCCCATACTTTAACATAGACTGACGATAGTCATAACGTTACAATCGCTATGTGGAACCAGCCCAGACCTACATTTGCTATGTGGTAGGTGGTTGGAATCTGACCAAAATAAACACTAGACATGGCAAGCTACTAGTGGCCAAACAAATAAAATTTTCTTACCCATTATGTGCTCCAACAGTGAAGTTCAGAATAACCGATTCTGTCATTACTATTGATATTCTGTCACGCCATGACAGATTGACTATAGTTGTTAAAAGAGTTGGGTATTGTGTTAATTGGGATGATTTTTAGGGATGGATGCTTAAGACATTGGTTACTGTATGTTGTGTTGTTGCTATTGAAACCTGGTTGTCCCTTGTTTCCTACAGATACTATGTGCTGAATGTTGTGTTGTTGAAACCTGGTTGTCCCTTGTTCCCTACAGATACTATGTGCTGTATGTTGTGTTGTTGAAACGTGGTTGTCCCTTGTTTCCTACAGATACTATGTGCTGTATGTTGTGTTGTTGAAACCTGGTTGTCCCTTGTTCCTACAGATACTATGTGCTGTATGTTGTGTTGAAACCTGGTTGTCCCTTGTTCCCTACATATACTATGTGTTGTATGTTGTGTTGTTGAAACCTGGTTGTCCCTTGTTCCCTACAGATACTATGTGCTGTATGTTGTGTTGTTGAAACGTGGTTGTCCCTTGTTTCCTACAGATACTATGTGCTGTATGTTGTGTTGTTGAAACCTGGTTGTCCCTTGTTCCTACAGATACTATGTGCTGAATGTTGTGTTGAAACCTGGTTGTCCCTTGTTCCCTACATATACTATGTGTTGTATGTTGTGTTGTTGAAACCTGGTTGTCCCTTGTTCCTACAGATACTATGTGCTGTATGTTGTGTTGAAACCTGGTTGTCCCTTGTTCCTACAGATACTATGTGCTGTATGTTGTGTTGTTGAAACCTGGTTGTCCCTTGTTCCCTACAGATACTATGTGCTGTATGTTGTGTTGTTGAAACCTGGTTGTCCCTTGTTCCCTACAGATACTATATGCTGTATGTTGTGTTGTTGAAACCTGGTTGTCCCTTGTTCCTACAGATACTATGTGCTGTATGTTGTGTTGAAACTTGGTTGTCCCTTGTTCCCTACAGATACTATGTGCTGTATGTTGTGTTGTTGAAACCTGGTTGTCCCTTGTTCCCTACATATACTATGTGCTGTATGTTGTGTTGAAACCTGGTTGTCCCTTGTTCCCTACAGATACTATGTGCTGTATGTTGTGTTGTTGAAACCTGGTTGTCCCTTGTTCCCTACAGATACTATGTGCTGTATGTTGTGTTGAAACCTGGTTGTCCCTTGTTCCTACAGATACTATGTGCTGTATGTTGTGTTGTTGAAACCTGGTTGTCCCTTGTTCCCTACAGATACTATGTGCTGTATGTTGTGTTGAAACCTGGTTGTCCCTTGTTCCCTACAGATACTATGTGCTGTATGTTGTGTTGAAACCTGGTTGTCCCTTGTTCCCTACAGATACTATGTGCTGTATGTTGTGTTGTTGAAACCTGGTTGTCCCTTGTTCCCTACAGATACTATGTGCTGTATGTTGTGTTGTTGAAACCTGGTTGTCCCTTTTTCCTACAGATACTATGTGCTGTATGTTGTGTTGTTGAAACCTGGTTGTCCCTTGTTCCTACAGATACTATGTGCTGAATGTTGTGTTGAAACCTGGTTGTCCCTTGTTCCCTACAGATACTATGTGCTGTATGTTGTGTTGAAACCTGGTTGTCCCTTGTTCCCTACAGATACTATGTGCTGTATGTTGTGTTGAAACCTCGTTGTCCCTTGTTCCCTACAGATACTATGTGCTGTATGTTGTGTTGAAACCTGGTTGTCCCTTGTTCCCTACAGATACTATGTGCTGTATGTTGTGTTGAAACCTGGTTGTCCCTTGTTCCCTACAGATACTATGTGCTGTATGTTGTGTTGAAACCTGGTTGTCCATTGTTCCCTACAGATACTATGTGCTGTATGTTGTGTTGAAACCTCGTTGTCCCTTGTTCCCTACAGATACTATGTGCTGTATGTTGTGTTGAAACCTGGTTGTCCCTTGTTCCTACAGATACTATGTGCTGTATGTTGTGTTGTTGAAACCTGGTTGTCCCTTGTTCCCTACAGATACTATGTGCTGTATGTTGTGTTGTTGAAACCTGGTTGTCCCTTTTTCCTACAGATACTATGTGCTGTATGTTGTGTTGTTGAAACCTGGTTGTCCCTTGTTCCTACAGATACTATGTGCTGAATGTTGTGTTGAAACCTGGTTGTCCCTTGTTCCCTACAGATACTATGTGCTGTATGTTGTGTTGAAACCTGGTTGTCCCTTGTTCCCTACAGATACTATGTGCTGTATGTTGTGTTGAAACCTCGTTGTCCCTTGTTCCCTACAGATACTACGTGCTGTATGTTGTGTTGAAACCTGGTTGTCCCTTGTTCCCTACAGATACTATGTGCTGTATGTTGTGTTGAAACCTGGTTGTCCCTTGTTCCCTACAGATACTATGTGCTGTATGTTGTGTTGTTGAAACCTGGTTGTCCCTTGTTCCCTACAGATACTATGTGCTGTATGTTGTGTTGAAACCTCGTTGTCCCTTGTTCCCTACAGATACTATGTGCTGTATGTTGTGTTGAAACCTGGTTGTCCCTTGTTCCCTACAGATACTATGTGCTGTATGTTGTGTTGTTGAAACCTGGTTGTCCCTTGTTCCCTACAGATACTATGTGCTGTATGTTGTGTTGAAACCTGGTTGTCCATTGTTCCCTACAGATACTATGTGCTGTATGTTGTGTTGAAACCTGGTTGTCCCTTGTTCCCTACAGATACTATGTGCTGTATGTTGTGTTGAAACCTGGTTGTCCCTTGTTCCCTACAGATACTATGTGCTGTATGTTGTGTTGTTGAAACGTGGTTGTCCCTTGTTCCCTACAGATACTATGTGCTGTATGTTGTGTTGTTGAAACCTGGTTGTCCCTTGTTCCTACAGATACTTTGTGCTGTATGTTGTGTTGTTGAAACCTGGTTGTCCCTTTTTCCCTACAGATACTATGTGCTGTATGTTGTGTTGTTGAAACCTGGTTGTCCCTTGTTCCCTACAGATACTATGTGCTGAATGTTGTGTTGAAACCTGGTTGTCCCTTGTTCCCTACAGATACTATGTGCTGTATGTTGTGTTGAAACCTGGTTGTCCCTTGTTCCCTACAGATACTATGTGCTGTATGTTGTGTTGAAACCTGGTTGTCCCTTGTTCCCTACAGATACTATGTGCTGTATGTTGTGTTGAAACCTCGTTGTCCCTTGTTCCCTACAGATACTATGTGCTGTATGTTGTGTTGAAACCTGGTTGTCCCTTGTTCCTACAGATACTATGTGCTGTATGTTGTGTTGTTGAAACCTGGTTGTCCCTTGTTCCCTACAGATACTATGTGCTGTATGTTGTGTTGTTGAAACCTGGTTGTCCCTTTTTCCTACAGATACTATGTGCTGTATGTTGTGTTGTTGAAACCTGGTTGTCCCTTGTTCCTACAGATACTATGTGCTGAATGTTGTGTTGAAACCTCGTTGTCCCTTGTTCCCTACAGATACTATGTGCTGTATGTTGTGTTGAAACCTGGTTGTCCCTTGTTCCCTACAGATACTATGTGCTGTATGTTGTGTTGAAACCTTGTTGTCCCTTGTTCCCTACAGATACTACGTGCTGTATGTTGTGTTGAAACCTGGTTGTCCCTTGTTCCCTACAGATACTATGTGCTGTATGTTGTGTTGAAACCTGGTTGTCCCTTGTTCCCTACAGATACTATGTGCTGTATGTTGTGTTGTTGAAACCTGGTTGTCCCTTGTTCCCTACAGATACTATGTGCTGTATGTTGTGTTGAAACCTCGTTGTCCCTTGTTCCCTACAGATACTATGTGCTGTATGTTGTGTTGAAACCTGGTTGTCCCTTGTTCCCTACAGATACTATGTGCTGTATGTTGTGTTGTTGAAACCTGGTTGTCCCTTGTTCCCTACAGATACTATGTGCTGTATGTTGTGTTGAAACCTGGTTGTCCATTGTTCCCTACAGATACTATGTGCTGTATGTTGTGTTGAAACCTCGTTGTCCCTTGTTCCCTACAGATACTATGTGCTGTATGTTGTGTTGAAACCTCGTTGTCCCTTGTTCCCTACAGATACTATGTGCTGTATGTTGTGTTGTTGAAACCTGGTTGTCCCTTGTTCCCTACAGATACTATGTGCTGTATGTTGTGTTGTTGAAACGTGGTTGTCCCTTGTTCCCTACAGATACTATGTGCTGTATGTTGTGTTGTTGAAACCTGGTTGTCCCTTGTTCCTACAGATACTTTGTGCTGTATGTTGTGTTGTTGAAACCTGGTTGTCCCTTTTTCCCTACAGATACTATGTGCTGTATGTTGTGTTGTTGAAACCTGGTTGTCCCTTGTTCCCTACAGATACTATGTGCTGAATGTTGTGTTGAAACCTGGTTGTCCCTTGTTCCCTACAGATACTATGTGCTGTATGTTGTGTTGAAACCTCGTTGTCCCTTGTTCCTACAGATACTATGTGCTGTATGTTGTGTTGTTGAAACCTGGTTGTCCCTTGTTCCTACAGATACTATGTGCTGTATGTTGTGTTGTTGAAACCTGGTTGTCCCTTGTTCCTACAGATACTATGTGCTGTATGTTGTGTTGTTGAAACCTGGTTGTCCCTTGTTCCTACAGATACTATGTGCTGAATGTTGTGTTGAAACCTGGTTGTCCCTTGTTCCCTACAGATACTATGTGCTGTATGTTGTGTTGAAACGTGGTTGTCCCTTGTTCCCTACAGATACTATGTGCTGTATGTTGTGTTGAAACCTCGTTGTCCCTTGTTCCTACAGATACTATGTGCTGTATGTTGTGTTGTTGAAACCTGGTTGTCCCTTGTTCCTACAGATACTATGTGCTGTATGTTGTGTTGTTGAAACCTGGTTGTCCCTTGTTCCTACAGATACTATGTGCTGTATGTTGTGTTGTTGAAACCTGGTTGTCCCTTGTTCCTACAGATACTATGTGCTGAATGTTGTGTTGAAACCTGGTTGTCCCTTGTTCCCTACAGATACTATGTGCTGTATGTTGTGTTGAAACATGGTTGTCCCTTGTTCCCTACAGATACTATGTGCTGTATGTTGTGTTGAAACCTGGTTGTCCCTTGTTCCCTACAGATACTATGTGCTGTATGTTGTGTTGTTGAAACCTGGTTGTCCCTTGTTCCCTACAGATACTATGTGCTGTATGTTGTGTTGAAACCTGGTTGTCCATTGTTCCCTACAGATACTATGTGCTGTATGTTGTGTTGAAACCTCGTTGTCCCTTGTTCCCTACAGATACTATGTGCTGTATGTTGTGTTGAAACCTCGTTGTCCCTTGTTCCCTACAGATACTATGTGCTGTATGTTGTGTTGTTGAAACCTGGTTGTCCCTTGTTCCCTACAGATACTATGTGCTGTATGTTGTGTTGTTGAAACGTGGTTGTCCCTTGTTCCCTACAGATACTATGTGCTGTATGTTGTGTTGTTGAAACCTGGTTGTCCCTTGTTCCTACAGATACTTTGTGCTGTATGTTGTGTTGTTGAAACCTGGTTGTCCCTTTTTCCCTACAGATACTATGTGCTGTATGTTGTGTTGTTGAAACCTGGTTGTCCCTTGTTCCCTACAGATACTATGTGCTGAATGTTGTGTTGAAACCTGGTTGTCCCTTGTTCCCTACAGATACTATGTGCTGTATGTTGTGTTGAAACCTCGTTGTCCCTTGTTCCTACAGATACTATGTGCTGTATGTTGTGTTGTTGAAACCTGGTTGTCCCTTGTTCCTACAGATACTATGTGCTGTATGTTGTGTTGTTGAAACCTGGTTGTCCCTTGTTCCTACAGATACTATGTGCTGTATGTTGTGTTGTTGAAACCTGGTTGTCCCTTGTTCCTACAGATACTATGTGCTGAATGTTGTGTTGAAACCTGGTTGTCCCTTGTTCCCTACAGATACTATGTGCTGTATGTTGTGTTGAAACGTGGTTGTCCCTTGTTCCCTACAGATACTATGTGCTGTATGTTGTGTTGAAACCTCGTTGTCCCTTGTTCCTACAGATACTATGTGCTGTATGTTGTGTTGTTGAAACCTGGTTGTCCCTTGTTCCTACAGATACTATGTGCTGTATGTTGTGTTGTTGAAACCTGGTTGTCCCTTGTTCCTACAGATACTATGTGCTGTATGTTGTGTTGTTGAAACCTGGTTGTCCCTTGTTCCTACAGATACTATGTGCTGAATGTTGTGTTGAAACCTGGTTGTCCCTTGTTCCCTACAGATACTATGTGCTGTATGTTGTGTTGAAACGTGGTTGTCCCTTGTTTCCTACAGATACTATGTGCTGTATGTTGTGTTGTTGAAACCTGGTTGTCCCTTGTTCCTACAGATACTATGTGCTGTATGTTGTGTTGAAACCTGGTTGTCCCTTGTTTCCTACAGATACTATGTGCTGTATGTTGTGTTGTTGAAACCTGGTTGTCCCTTGTTCCCTACAGATACTATGTGCTGTATGTTGTGTTGAAACCTGGTTGTCCCTTGTTTCCTACAGATACTATGTGCTGTATGTTGTGTTGAAACCTGGTTGTCCCTTGTTTCCTACAGATACTATGTGCTGTATGTTGTGTTGAAACCTGGTTGTCCCTTGTTTCCTACAGATACTAAGTGCTGTATGTTGTGTTGTTGAAACCTGGTTGTCCCTTGTTCCTACAGATACTATGTGCTGTATGTTGTGTTGTTGAAACGTGGTTGTCCCTTGTTCCTACAGATACTATGTGCTGTATGTTGTGTTGAAACGTGGTTGTCCCTTGTTTCCTACAGATACTATGTGCTGTATGTTGTGTTGTTGAAACCTGGTTGTCCCTTGTTCCTACAGATACTATGTGCTGTATGTTGTGTTGTTGAAACCTGGTTGTCCCTTGTTCCTACAGATACTATGTGCTGAATGTTGTGTTGAAACCTGGTTGTCCCTTGTTCCCTACAGATACTATGTGCTGTATGTTGTGTTGTTGAAACCTGGTTGTCCCTTGTTCCTACAGATACTATGTGCTGAATGTAACACAGGAGGAAATAAGAAAGTCTGTAAGCGTAGTGTCTGATCCCTTCCTTGATACTCATTTACATAACGGCACAGGTGATGTGTAAGTATATTGCCAACAGCAGCAGCTGTTTGTTTCTCAGCTGCCTGGGCAAACATTCATCTTATTGGCTGAGGCTTCTTGCTTATTAATAATTTTGAAGTAGTTTATGAATCCATTGTTTGGAACTTTCAATATTTATCAATTGAAATTGACATATGAGATTCATTTGGGTCTTTGGTAGGCACAGACTGCCTAGAAATTCAAGACACTAGTCCTAGAGTTTGTAGCTTCTTATCCCCCGCCCAACAAAGTTGGCGGGGGATATAGAAACGGGCTCCGTCCGTCCGTCCGTCCGTCCGTCCATCACGTTTCCGGAGCATAACTTTTTTTCATGAAATTTTGCAGGTCTGTCCGGTACATGCTGAACTGGTGCCTTTTGCTATTTAGAAATTTTAGAAATTATTTACGTTTCCATGGCAACAAGATGGACTTAGCTTCCAAACTCTTCTTTTTTTTACAATTTCCATGACAAGTTCCACCTTGGTTAAAAAAGATTAGGGTTTGTTTTGATTTAATTATGTCTTAAATTCTGCAACAGAGGCGGGGGATATAGCCACGTTAGTGGCAAACTCTTGTTCTGTTTGAACCTGTTGAATAAGACAAAAATGGTTACTATGTTTATTGTTTCTGAAAGTTTACTCAGTTCCAATTTGTAGCAGAATTGAAGCATTTAGAACTGGTTCAGAGTTCTAGCTCTCACGTTATAGCCCTGTAAATACAATAGGATGACGTCACTAAAGAGTAATAATAGCCAGTTAGAACTGACGTTAAACCCAATTTCACCTCACCTGTTCAATGAAGTACTATATTGAACTACACTCATTCATTCAGTCAAATGTAGGCTACAGAGGCTAAAACAAATACATGGTCCAAAGTTAAAGCAGTCCACATTTTATGTCTGGTTTGAGGTAAAACATTATTTCACATTTTAGCAAATGACACACTCATTACCCAGAATGAACTACTTGTATATCTTCAGAATATCCCATAATTTCACCCACAGTATTAGTTGTATAAATTCACTGTTTTGGAGTTCAGGTAGGCATTGGGGCCTTTGAGTGTCTTGGCTGTAGTTGTTGGGGCTGTCCTGATATGCCCATCTTCCTGAGGCAAGAGAGTTAACTGACTATAAAAGTCCAGATTCCACCCTTGCCGAACTAGGCTAGTATTATGGAGTTACATTTTGGCCGGACTAACGAGTCTATGCATAGTCCAATCAAAATTGCGCACTGAAATTGAAATCTGGTTCGTACACTGTTGTACAGATTTCGGTCGATTGCAGGATTTGCAAAGCATGTTCACCGCCAACTCGTTGTCAGCAGATATTTTCCAAATGTTTTCATGTTTTTAATCAAGGTGCTCACGTGATTTGATGCATTTCGCGATGTAAGACCCGTTTTATCAGAATATAGATCTTGATTGTCGATCAGATCTAACTGACCGGGCGCCACCATTTTGTGTGAAGCAAATGCAAGTGATACAAGAGGTGGAATCTGATTGGTCCATAGGAGAGGCTTAGAAGGGACATGACTGGTAATAGCCACTGGTGGCGATACGATCGAGCCCAGTAATTCCAGCCTTGTTCGGCAAGGGTGGAAACTGGACTTTTAAAGTCAGTTAACTCTCTTGTCTCGGGAAGATGTGATATGCCTACCTCATGATACAATGTGTATTGTGATACTAAATTTGAGCCTATTTTGTTTGAAATCCCCCCTTATTCCATTCATCCTGATTATCTTTCAAGGCCAGTCATCACCTTGCCCGTGCTCAAGGGTTTCACCAAAAGTGGTTAACGTCTAAGACCTGCATCACTTGGCTTTCCTCCCACATCAAGCTGGCATACCATGATATAACTAACATACTGTTGAAAGGGGTGTTCACCAAAGTCACTTACTCCCTTTTCCATGAGACCCGGCTGACACGAGATTGTTATAGCTATGTTGTGTTGAACTTGCATGATTATTATATTTAAGCTTGTTCTACCGTCTAGTATTATGCAATCAGATTTAGTTTCATGAGATTTAAGGAGTCCCTGAATTTAAAACCATAGGAGCAAACGGTTCCCCACATGGGTACAATTTTCCGGTGTATCCCGCCTTTATGTTGCTGGAATATTGTTAAAAGCGACGTAAACACCCTCCCTCACTCACTCCCTCACTCACTCACTCACTCACTCACTCACTCACTCACCTCACTCACCTCACTCACCTCACTCACTCACTCACAGGACCCTCTCTTAAATTCTCTAACTCCATTGATGCCCCAGTTGTTTAACATGCTGGAATTCTCTGTGCAGAGTTACCTTCCTTTGACATGCCATTACCAGGAACCTATCATCATGGGTTTGAATCCCACTGGCCCTGATTTTGTTCCTAGGATCATCAGCACAATACCTGTGCTTGAAGGTTTTACTGAAATAGAAAACATAAAAGACCTGCATCACTTGAGTTGAAACGCTGAGATATAACCGAAATACTGTTAAATCAAACTCACTCACTCCTTCTTGCTAGGTGTTGGTAATCCAGGTGATAACTGGCTTGATGCTATTTTCCAGGCAACTGAAGGAAGAGAAGGAGAAGGAGGCGGCCAAGTCCCCCCTGGAACTGGAGAAGATGGTGCAGGCCTAACTTCAGAGGCAAGGAAGAGGAGTGGTCTGAAGCTGGCAGGAGACATGAATGTCCTTATGGTGATGGCATAGACTTGACAAGGATGCCGATGTTTGGCAGTGGATTTTGGAATTGGTATTTGCGAAAGATGTCTTGTTTTTGAGCTGATTCTGTGGATCTAGTCGCAAGGAATGCAATATGATGAGTCGGTGATTATTCAGTGATTTTTGCTGATTTGCAGCCGTCTACATGACGTCAGGAGGGTGCCAGCTAGGTGGAGATCCAGCACCACTGGTCATGTTGCAAAAGAAAATTATGATATTACAAATTCAGTGATTGTTTGTTGGAATGAATTGACCTTTTGATGTCTATGTTGGGAGGCTACGAATTACGAATACCATATCAAGCTATATCATATTTTTGGGCATCATTGAAAAGAATTCAGAAGGGAAAAAGGCCAGACTCTATAAACCATTCCCGTCTATTCATACCATCTATTAATTCCTTGTCAGTAACTATGAGATGAAGACATCTAATTGTCAGATGGGAAGACATATAAAATATAAATGTGTAATAAATAGCCTCCGTCTCTGGACTCACCAAACAAGTAATCTATATGTTTTGGCCCATATTTATTTCCGTTTTTCTTCAACATGTTCAATCTTCAAATATCAGAATAACCCTGAAATTCATTATATTTCTAATCTTGAAAATAATTGAAATTTTCAAGGAAACTTCAAATTTGTGTGAGAGTGCAGTCAAGTATTGGACTTGGAATACTCATGCACAGATGCTTGTTGTAGCACACGACACACGGTGTCATACTTCCCAGTGTCTACAGCAGGTCATGTGTGGTAACTGTACATATTATTTATAAAGGAGCACATTCCATAGACACAGTGCAATGTCAGATTTCTGTCAGATATCTTTTCTTCATTGTTTGGTTTATAGATTTTTTACTATATCCAGTTAGCACGGGTCTGTTGAAATAAAAATAACAGTATCTTTGTGTAGTTCAATATGTATGTTTTTTTGGTTTGCAATGACATTGTTCCGATCAGTCAGTTCGGGCCACACAGTTTTTGTTTTTCGTTTCACGGCCCACCGCCCCTACTGAAAAGCAGCTGGAAAAAAAAAATATTAAACTTAAAAATATTTATTTTTGTTATGTCTCCCACTAGTTATATAGACCCTCTTATACAACATAAAGTGTTATTTTTAAATTCCATGTCTACATCACTATCAGTGATTCATGAAGCCATGGCAGAATGACTTTAATATAAATGAATGATTGACATAGGTATTTATTTTTATTTTAATTTCGACCGACCTTGTGTGGAAAAACTGAAAATAATCTGTGAAACATACAATTAAAAGAATTTGGCCTATGTTAGAAAAAATGTAATCTCTTTGTATGTGCAGAATGCTTTGTATTCTCACAGAACATGTGTATATACTACTCAACTGTTGATAGGGACACTCACATGTCATTCTATTTAGATATACTCTTGACATGAGAATCAGTTGTGTGTATCATGGACAGATAAATATCTCTATCTGAAGTGGAGTAGTGTATTTACTTCTGAGAAGGCTGAGTGTCTCTCTTAAGGCCAGGCTTTTTTATTTTTAGGATTATGGATGTTTCTGCCCAAAGTCCAGGATTGTTTTAATGCAGAATGCCTCTGGAATACTTTATGAACATTTTCTGTGCTCAAAAGACCGCCATTTGTGACGATAAAGCCCCTTGTAACAATAAAAATTCTACCACTTACAACACGGACAATTGTCAAGGGAGGCTATTCATGTTCGGCTTCGAGATCAACAAAGATCAATTATGTATTTCTTTACTAGTTTACAACGGTAAATTCATATGTTTTTTTATTAAAAAGTGATGATAACAAATAAAATAACTGACTACGTTGCTATCGTCGGGAAAATAATAATAATGGAAATCTGATTTATTTATTTTTTACATTTTCTCAAAAATTAGAGTTGGCAGGGTCGTAATCCGAAAAATATAAAACGCCTGGCCTAAGGTTGTTGGCTGGTATGGTTTTGCTTTCACTGCAGAACAGATGTTAAACTTGTAGTACTTTCAACGGCATTTTTTTAGTCAGGTTAATGCCAAGAGATGAAGTCGAGAATAACAGACTGAAAGTTAATTTGTCAAATGTGCTGTGTAATATACAACACAAAAAGTGAGTCACACCCATTTTACAACATGTCGCATGTTGCTTATGGCAATAGTGAATGAGAGTAAGCACAATTGTTTATACTTTGACGTGACTGCATTGTAACCTTGTTGCATGACGTGATGACACTGTATGACGTTATCAATGGAATGTCACTGCACATTAATAATTTAGAGAAGTATGTAACCGGTAAATGCCTACATTTTCATAGATTTCAAAAATGTGTTATCTAGCATAGACGTTATTGTTTCCTTATTGATGTTAATGTAACTGTGAGTGTTTGCCCATATGTCTCTATTGCAAAGTATGAATGTGGGTGGTAGTTTTACATGTAGGCCTTGCACTGCAAAATGCACAGCAAAATGCACACCAATCTCTTCTTTCTTTATTTGGACATTTAGATTAAATAGCTAAGATAATGCTAATACCTGTCTTCGAAAAGGTAAATACTCTTAATACAGACCAGCGAACAAGATGATTGCAGTGACTGGGGCAGTGCCTTTGATCAGATATTAAAATGTCAATGGTGGCTTTCATTTTGTATGTAGTTGTGTTTATATTTAAATCCTTTGATGATAGAGCAATCAAGTGAAAGAAAAATTCAAACTGTTTATATTTCATTCCATGATTGAGGCCTTTGACTCTGGTCACTTGAACCTATTAGCCAAAAAGTTGATAATTTTAGCAGTTTTAACTCACTCACTATAGAAGCATTTGTGTCTAGTATACAAGGGTTAATTTCTAGAAAAAAAACCAATCATAAAAATCAGAACATTTTTTCCAATACTTCTCTGCATGAAGACCTGGGTACCCTCATAGAAGGTTGAATCAGGTGAACTTTCTGAACAGCCAATCAACGTCGAGGCTTCTGAATTCTTGACGTGAGTGAGCAAAGAATTCAAACCAGCTCTGATTTCTGTATTTTGAAAATGAACTAAACTGGCAAGTTCTTAAAATGGAAAGTATAGCGGTGTCATTATATTGTAGACGTTATCCTGTTGTCTCTGGGGGGCACGGGTGGCCCAGTAGTCTAAGGCGCCGCGATTCGCTGTGCAGAGTTGCGTCCCTTAGGCACGCCAGAAACCTATGATTGTGGGTTTGAATCCCGGTTCGCCCCGATTATGTTTCTAGGTTTGTCAGCACCATACCCGTGGTAAACGTCTGAGACCTGCATCACTTCGGGCTTTCCTCCCACATTAAGCTGACACGCCGTGATATGACTGGAATACTGTTAAAAGCGGCGTTAAACCCAACTCACACACTGTTCTGTTGTCTCTGAATGTTGTGGCATCTACACATAGGGGAGAACCATCAAAGGAACATTTGTGTTCTGTGTGGGTTCTCATTTGTATAAATCAAGTTCTGAATTGAGGTGGTAAAAGAAGTACACCGAATTGTTTTAGAAAACTGCCAGTTGATAGATTCAAGAACCCATGCAGCCTTCTTTTAGACTAGTCAGTCGGTTGAGGGTCCTTCTGACCTTCTGTGGTCATCAGACCATAGCACAGAGAGGTATCATATCAAGGAAAAGATGTCATTTAATGAATTTGTAAAAAAAACCAACAATTTTTTGGGGAAATGCTGACATTATGTACAGGGTAAAAGGAGATTGCTTCCCTCGTGCAGTGTCCATTATTACTTATTTAATTACACCATCCCACTATTCTTTGTCTTCCTAATACGATGATGACACACCATCTTGTTTAGGATTGCCTAGTGCCAATGGCATGTTTATGTCACAGTTTCATCTTAAGTGATGTTTTTTGTGTGAAGTAGATGGGTGCTGTGACCTTTGTGACTTGACCCAGTTGTTGTCAACATGTGTGAGCAGGTACATTGTGTGACCTCCTGATCTCGTGTACACCAGCCTCTCTATGAATGTATGTTGAGTTGGTAACCATGTGTTTCACACCTCACTGACTTCATTAGTACAGGACGATATGGATGTGCTGAATGGAAAAGTAATAACTACAAATTCCTGGAACATTGCTGAATGACCATAACATGAAAAGCATGAGAAATAATGATCTAAATACACGAAATTCCTAAAATATATATATGGATCGATTTTTTAGTTTCTGGCCAATGGGGTCAAGCCTAAGCATGATGAAACATTAAGAATATGATAACAATGTGATAAACAAACTGCTTATTCAGCATGTTCTGTTGTGCTGTTCCTGTTCAGCCGACATCTGTTCTGCATGATCATGCAGTGTTCTCGACACTATGTCTGTATCAGTTCACAGCTATGCTGCTAGTCTGGGGCGGTACATGTATATGGTTATGTGTTTGTTCTGTTATTGTGATCCTGTCATGAGTATTCAGCTATTGTGAATACTGATAGGTATGAACTGTTTATATGTTGGCAAGTATCAGGGTACAATGTTGTTGAAATTGTATTGGATATTTTCCATTTGGATGGCAGGAAGAAACTGTAAGCTTTATTGTCATCAAGTCTTACAAACTTCAATGTTAGTGTACTTCATATGCCTTTCAACCAGAGACCATATGTGACTTAATCTTGAGGGGGCTATTCTCTGACCATTTGACAACCTAACAGGGAAGATGCTGTTTTGCAAATGGTACTGATCACTACCTGAAAAAAAAAAATTGCCTGCCACATTGATTACATTGTTGCAAGGTGTTTTTCTTATCAATATATTCAGGCTCATTGTTAAGAATTAAAATTAAAAGAGTATCTGGTTTTGTAGCTGAAGCTGAAATAATATCTAATCTCAATGCAAACTCCCATCCCATCCTGAATATCATATGGTCGGCCCCTAACAGTTAACACTCTTTAACTTTCAGTGTAACTCCATAAGTAATGTAATGGGTTCTTGCGTCACATTTTTTAATCAGCATCATTCTGCAGCCCTATGGCTGTGACATTAATGAGTGTCTGGTAGTGTAACTTGCAGTGGATTATTTATTGATAATAATTACATCATTGAACCTGTAAGCGTGATTCGTGTACATACTGTATATATTATAGTTTGTTGTTTATCCCTGCACTGAGCAATATTACAGCTTTGTGACAGTAGTCTGTAAATAATCCAGTGATTGACATCATGAGCATCGATCTACGCTGTGGAGACACAATGACATGCAATCAACCAAGACACCAAGCCTGACAACCCGATCCATTTAGTTGCTTCTTATGACCAGCATAGATGGCTGAGGAACTATAATCTTAGCCGGAATTCCTATTGGTTGTGTATATTATAGACTTTCTTTATATGATACTGGGGGGCACGGGTGGCCCAGTCGTCTAAAGCGTCACAATTCGCTGTACAGAGTTGCGTCCCTTGGGCAAGCCTGAAACCTATGATTGTGGGTTCGAATCCCGGTTCGCCCCGTTAATGTTTCTAGGTTTGTCCGCACCATACAAGTGTTGGTGGGTTTCACCGAAGTGGTAAACATCTAAGACCTGCATCACTTCGGGCTTTCCTCCCACATTAAGCTGACACGCCGCGATATAACTGGAATACTGTTTAATGCGGCGTTAAACCCAGCTCACTCACTGTATAATACTGAATGTGTTTGTATAATGTAGTATCATCAAATAGTTTTCAGATATTTTCACTGATGACATAGGGTTGTCAAAATTGTAAAACAATTTAAAAATATGTTTATCTTTTTTAAAATTTCTTTAGGTGAGGTCAGATGAATGAAATATGGAAACAAATGAAAGAAACGAACTCCTCTGATTGTTTCATGTGTTCCTCTTAATCGGCAGCTTTTTATTATTTTTGTTGTTACTGAAGTTCCTTAACAGCCTAGTAATGAAAAAGATACCAAGATTTTTTTTAAATTCACAATTCATACCACACTTGGGTCAATTCTGATCTATAATAATAAACAAATGCCAAAGAAATTGCATCACAGAGAAGCTTGAATGACTATTACAGCATTTGCAATGATTACTTGTCACGGATTTATGCCAGTTATACTCTGTAGGTCAGGACTTCATGTTTTTGAATGCATTGTCATTAATTCTAGGTGTCGAGACTAGCACATTGTTCACATTAGATATGTGTGGTTATTTACCTCAAAGTGACGGAGCTGGTTGTGAAGTTATGGTATGGTATTAATCATGTTAATTAAGCTATAAACATACTGTGTTTGCAACATGGAGCTAGATTACTTTAGATTTAACTGGACTAAATTAAATTTGGAAAAACTTGCATAGTAAGGTCTTCAGGAAAACAGAGCAAGCATTGCAAGGTTTAGTTCTACTTTGTGTGTCACTATTATGACATCACACCGCTCATTGTGATGCAAAAGATATGACATCATTATAGGATATAGAAAAGTGCCATATTTCAATCTTTCTGTTGTCCCAAAAACCTGAAATACACTTTCAGTTGATTTTTATTGTGTTTTAAGTCCCCAATGTTTTGCCATGCATACTTTTAGTATTGAAGTAAGAGTAAAACTGCATTTTGTAGCCTATTATTATACATATTATTTTTGAATAATGCTTACTGACAATGATTGAAAAATTATGATAGAATTATCATTTGATATCTGTATACCTAATGTCGACTCATTGGGACTATTTTAGGTAGGATGTGTGTGTTCAATGGTTTTCCTGTTAACAAGGTCAAGAGGTGCATTTGGGACCAGTGCAAAATATCTTTTGACATTATTGAAGTTGAATCGCATTAGTGGCAACTTTTAATGAAATGAAACATTTTGTGGTATTTGTTTGGAAGTGTTGACATATTCCTGAAGCTTGTTTTGTTCTTGAAGCCAGATCACTGTTTTCCCGTTTACAGAATGTCTTTGTCAATGTACCAAAGGGGTAGGTAAAAGGAATGTACAGACAACGACAAAAGATGTACAGCATGTTCAATTTAAGTATTTCATTCAGTGACACATTCGTATTTACTAGTTCCTACATATTCTTATTCATATTTTACAAAAAAATACAGTGTAGACCTTTTCGCAAAACAAGAAAAAATATTGGTCTGGAGAAACAAAACAGTAACTTGCAGTACCATGGCAGCTCTTGTTGATGACAAGCTTGTGTACATTTGGAGACTGTACACTAGTTCTGAAGCGTGTTATGGATCATGAGTGTCTCCGTTATGTATTGTATTGTTGTTATGATGTTAATTAATATTCAGTGTACAAAATGATTTTTAAACTGAATACTTTGTTAAGATCGTCTTCCATGAATGTTATGTTGCCATTGTCATATCTGTGCTTCAGTGAAAATGTGAAGTATTTATAAGAAGTTAAGAAGGAAAGACAAAATATAGGTAGTCTGTTTCTTGCCAAACATTGTTTACCTATGACTTGTACATAAATAATATAAGTATTTCACCAGCTGGTCCATTTATGATGTGTCAGTACAGTTGGGTTTGTACTTTACCATTCAGTGTGATTGTATGATTCTATCAACGAAGTATTTCACTTTTGCATTTGTGTCTTTGTTTGCCTTTTCTTCTCCAAATATAAATAAATCATGGCTTCTTTTGAATGTTTTTCCCTCTTGACATGACTTATTTCTGTGTGCACTGTTCTGTTCCTTTTATCAGGTGTTGTTGTCCCAAGTGTCAGCACCAACAGTACTGGTGGGTTTCACCAAAGTGGTGAATGTGTAAGACCAGCATCACTGAGGGCTTTCCCCTAACGTCAAACTGACACGTTGTGGGATGACTGAAATATTGTTCAAGGCATTGCTAAACCTCAGATATGCCAGAGTAAATATAGGATGTTACATGTAAAGCAGTACATTTATTAGTCCAACATTCGTATTGTTACATTTGCCCATCGTTTTGAAAAACATTGAAGTTGGTTTTGGTGTGATTAACGTTAAAAGACCATTTGTCAAAGTAGCGTGACACAATGTCAATAAACTGCCTCCGTGGTCTAGTGGTCCAGCGTCCACCCGGAGAGCAGAAGGTCCGGGGTTTCCATCCCTGGCCATGTCTCATCAAAAGACATTAAAAAATGGTCCTGTCACCCTTCCGAAAATGCCCAATAAAGACCTCAAAGGTCAAAATAAGATTAAAATCAGGTATCTAATTCCATTTGATACTTCAAGATTAAAAAGATTGCGTTTGAAAACAATGGTCTGTCGATGCATATAACAATGGTTGCCAATAACCCTTAAAACTTGTTCTTATGTGTACGTCGTCACGATATGGCTGAAATATTGCCGATGTGACGTAAAGCATTAACTCACTCACTCTTATGTGTACGTTCGATATCAGAACAGCGGATCAAACATAAGATCTATTTCCGAAACCACTAAGTAAACCACACACTAACCACTGTGCCAGGGCCACAATAATCGGTCACAAAACTGAGCAGTCCGTCAGACTCCCCCCTTGTCGTTCAATGCCGACCCCTGTTCAGCTGAAAACGGCGGAATTAACAGACCTTTCTCATCTAATCATGATAGTATTTGAATATATTTGTTGTAAACAAACTACAAAAGATGTCACTATGAGATGTTCAAACAGTGTGGCCTTCACTCTATGAAGGTTCATACTCAAATGAGCTCACACAAAGTAAAAGTCAATTCTTAAATGAACAAGTACTTGGTGGAAAGGAGATATAGGTAAAGACATTGAAGACAGAGGTCTTGTAGCTTCTGTATGCTTTCAGTGCGACGTTCTAGTACATCTCTTCTACATGTGAAACATGAATAGGACTATGCAAATGGGGGGTTCCCGGTTGCTAAGACACTGTTTGTTAGTAAACAATGTAACTGCCAAGCCATACCACTTCTAACTGAAACGACGAAACAACCTCGTCGGATGATTTGAAACAG